AAATAACATAAAACACAACATAAAAATGAATAATTTATATATAAGTTTAATATTACATTAATATGAAATAAATACAACTTTTCACATACTTCTTATAACATCAAACCAATTTTTTTCAAACAAAAGAGTTTGTACTTAGAACCATACATGTTTATGCAATGATCAAACAAAATGGAATACACTTGCAGCGTATAAATGTGCGGCCAGCTACTCTGCACACAAAGCGGCTATTATTCGGTGGAGCAACAGCTAAAAGGGGAGAGACAAAATTTGAAAGAAATGTATGGTGATGTGAGCTGCAAACTTTAGCCGCATATCTAACCGCTTCGGCAAGTTAACGTGTTGGATTCTTATACATGCAGTTGATATTCGAATAGAACAGAAAATTACTCTCATACAATTCCCAATCTCTATTTCTCATATTTTAAGCTAGAGCACACGCACATTATTTTGTTCATACTACTTTTGTGCACAACTATCGACAGAAATTTATGAATGCAATTGCTTAAAGGGGAAAGACGAAATATGATAGAAATGTTTTGCGATATGAGCTGCAAACTTATGAGCACAACTAACGACTAGACTATAGTAGCTAAGAGAAGCAAATTAATTAAGTATTCATAAACAACTATATTTAATTGTTTTTGCTAAAACTTTAATCTTTAAATATATATATGAGAATGTAATAAATAATATTAATTCTAGATGTAAAGATATTTAATAAATTTATATATATTATTTGACAATTTGCAAATTATGTGAGAGTGTGCACCGCACACCTCCGAACCTTAGAGCAGTCGTCACTGCCATGCGGATATCTGCTATTTATACATTTGAAACTTACCTTAAAGCTCGTTTGTACATTTGTATTTATGTTTGGAATAGTTGACATCTTTTTGGAAGCCGCTATTGATTTGTCGTTGTTGTTTCTATTTTTTCTACTATAAGATTTACGAATTCTAGTTTTTTTATTATTACAGTTATTAAATTCGATCCGATCCTCTGTTAACTTACAATTTATATTTTGCATATAATTTACAGTTTGTGGACGTGTTAGGATTGTGCTAGCATTAACTAAATTAAGTGGTGGAGCCGTCAAAAAATTAGCCCCGTTTAAAGATGCAACCGTTTGCAGTAGTTCGGGCATGTCTCACGTTCTGTACAGAATTGAACGGGCCAAACTGAAAAGATACAAACAAATGCACAAATTAGGATTGTGGAAATCCTTTTGCAATAGCCTTCAGTGATTCAAATAAAATTAAAACATAAGTATGTTACTTGCTCATAAATTTTATTTTGGTTTTATAATAAGAGTTTACACGGTATTTAGTTGCTACTTAAGTTACAAAAAATAAACTTAATTAAGTAATATTAAATAAGTTTTGGATAGGTTCTACATATTAAAAATAAATAATTACAATTAATAGAAAATGCTATAAATTAAAAACAAGTTTGTAAAATCAGTATTTTCATTCCACAGGCATTAGTTGTTTAAACGCTTTGTGATTTCGTTTGCTAAATCAGCTAAAGGTACATCAACCTCTTTACGTGTTGTCACTTCACGCAGTTTTACAATGCCCTTCTCCAGCTCGGAATCGCCAAACACAACAGCCAAAGGAATTTGATTTTCTTCACAATGTTGCAGTTGTGCTAAAAGCTTTGGATTTAATTTATATGAATGCTCAGCTTTAATACCGTTATCCCATAAGCTATTCAAAATGCTGAGTCGTTTTTCGTGCAATCCTTTATGTGCTGAAGCGACATATACTTCCACGTCATTAGTGCGCACCTTCACTCCTGCAGCAGCATATTTGGCCTCGAGAACAGAAAATATACGCTCAACTCCGATTGAAACGCCAACACAAGGTACTTGCTTTCCTTTCGGATCGAACATGCCAACAAGATTATCATACCGTCCACCACCAGCGATGGAACCAACAGTTCCTTGCTCTTCTGCTTCACCATTTTGTAACAACTTGGGCTCAGCTTTTAGTACACATTCATAAATCACGCCAGTGTAATAATCAAGTCCACGTGCTAAACTTAAATCAAAGCTTATAGATTTTTCCAATCCCATTGCTTTACAATACTTCAACAGTAGCTGCATTCCCTCCAAACCTTTAACTGCTGCTTGCACTTTCTTCAGTTTCTCATCAACTAATAACTGATCAACTAAACCTATTCCACCGCTTAGTTGCACATATTTACCAATTTCATCAGCTGCTGCTGCATCTAAGCCCTTCTCATCTATCATTTCTGCACGTACCTCAGCCCAAGGAGACTAAAATGTTAAAGAAATGTTATGTAGCTCAAAAAAAGTATTAGTGCCTACTTTATCGAGTTTGTCAACCGACGAGCAAATAGCACGAAATTTATCGGCAGGCACACCGCAAGCCTCAAACATACCATCCAGTAATTGGCGATGATTTAGTTTGATAACATAGTCTCCAATTTCTAAGGTATCTAGCACCTCTGCAACAATTTTGACGCATTCAGCATCTGGTAACATCAGATCATAAGTTCCAGCTATATCAAAATCCTGAAATAAGAAATACAAAATTGACGTAAGTTTTCCGGCAATTAATTGCCTAGCATACACATTGATAAAATTCCCTGTAACGTCCGCGAGTAATGGAAGGATTGTCCCGCCTATATACTTTAGCGATGTGATACCGTTTAATACTTGCTATCTTGCTCATGGCTAGGTAACGAGCTAAAGGAACTGTCAAATCATATCGCAGTGATAATATTTCGCCACCTTGATCTTTAAGATCATAAATGAGTTTTGAATCTTCACCATATTTGCCAGTAAGGACTTCCTGCAAAAATACAAATATATTGTTCATTTTAAAAGAAACCACTATATAAACAAATTTTACCTTTAGTTCGAAAACGGGAGTATCAATAGCCTCTCCTCCATGCTTCTTAAAGACACCAATAATTTTGTCCAGCACTCCTTGCCTTAGTGTCATTTGCTGTGGCGCATAATCCCTTGTGCCTTTTGGGGTTTTAAGTGTAAATTTTTGAGGTGGAGCTGACTCATCGCCGAGTCTTGCTTTCAATGCCAACAATCGAGCCAATTCCTCATCAATCTGTAAATATTAAAAATTATTCATTTAGCCATAAGGCATATTGTCTATAATTCTAACCTTCTCCAAATGCTGTGCTAGACTATAACCAGCTGCGCCATCAGTCTCATTATTGTTGGTTTTGGTTTCTGTTTTTGTTTTATATATTTTGTTTTTACTGTGCGTATCTGTACTTGAAACAATTTGCGATTGTGAATTCTTGACAATAGCTGCGGACGAGCAGCAACGGCAGCACCGCTCTAATTGGCAGCAAACTAAGTCTTTTTCAAGAACTTTCACCAGATTCGCATTTCGTAAAAGTGACCACGTTTGCTGATGCACTAAAATCACAGTACGACGACCAATTGAACGCAACATTTTTATATTTTTTTACTGTAATTATTTTATCTTTTTTTGTATATATTTTCTTTAAGTGTGAACCAATTCTTTTATGGTTTATAATTAAAATTAAACCTAAACAACAACAACAACAATAATGAAACTGATTAGAAGTTTTCATTTAGAGTTCATTGGAAGGTGAAGGCGTTTGCTTTGTCAGTATTAAATTATGACAAATTTGTTAAAAACTTTTCAAAACCATTAAAATTGATTGGAATTTATACAAAAAGCAAAATTTTTCAGTTTTATTATGAAAATATAAATAACTTTTATGTACAAATGTGCAATGATTTAATGGGTTAAGCGTTAGTTGATTACTAGGAAAATAAATTAAGGAAATAATGAACTACTAATTTAAGCCATTTTACAAATATTGCGTTCTACTGACCCCCACCTTTGCGATTTTTTAGTTCAAAATTATATATAAACTTATTAAATAATGTTTTAGCCAAATTTATTAATTAAATAACATTTACATTTACAATTACAAATAACAAAAAAAATATTACAGGTACAGAAATAAGGCATAACTCTCATTTGAATTGTGAAGATAGCGCAACACACACAATATGGAGTACCAAAGTGAATATAAAGTTCCAACAGTCACTTCACGATGACCGCAAATACCGCTCACCACATTTAGTAGCTTATCAATATTCTCAAAAAAGGTCGTATGGAACAAGTTACAACATCAGTAATTTGCTAGAAAAGCGAGGATAGATGAAGATACTTTTCAAATCACAAGATTCCCCTGATTCAAATTAAAAAAAATTCGTACCAATCGCCTATTTTAACTAAAGCGGAACCAATTCATTACTTACTATGGTATCGGTGATCTTAGGTTACTGCATATTAGAAAGTTTTACTTCGTATGCTGTAAGACTTGGTCTACTCTACAACGACTTTTGATAGTTGTGGCTCTACGAATAAGAAGAAAACTGTACTCCATCTTTTAGGTTGGACTCATACATTATTTAAATAGAAGAGTCGCGCTTTCTCAAATGGAAATAATCATTCACAAATTATTTGGATTTTCTACTTTAAAGTAGTTCCACGGGACTGGCGTACTGATGTTGTTTCATCCGTTATATCCAACGAGCGGCTTTTTGTATTTCAACGTTTAACCAATTCTTGTATACTACTTAGTTCAATAACAAAATGATATGCCGGTTTGAATCATTGATGAATACTATATGGTTTATAACAGAGGAATTTCAGGTCAAAACTAACAAAAAAAAAAAAAATAGAGAACACTAATCGTAGTACACACTGTCAAAAAAATTTTTTAATTTAAATAACGTGAGCTTGATATGTCTAATATAGGTTTTGTAATCAAAGGAATAAAAAATAGTTAAGCATTAAATATGTACAGTTCAATAAAATTAAGTCAAAACATTATCCACTAACTCAGAATATTCAACATTTGTAATTTAACGAACCAAATTTAATCTTGTTACTACTTTTTTGGCTTATACTAACAAACCCTAAGTACTGCTCCGAAGATAGTTGACTTCTTCCGACATGTAACGTTAAGGCTCTTTAATAAGCCAAATTAGTAATTCATTTAGATTGTGCTTGTGCCTTAAAGGACCTAATCGTAGTAACCCAAAAAATGTAATAGCGTTTAAATACAAAGTGAGATAAAAAAACACATCATAATTATTTTAGGAACGAATAATCTCAATCCATTAAATGTCTTTAACAACAGGAATAAATATAACAATTTTAGTATATTGCTTATTTCACACTGCAAACAAATCCGGTACCAAACAAATCAGTGTGGCTCCCAATTGATCACTATGTGAGTTTAACGTGTTTACATTAGCACTTAATTATGATTATTCTGAAATTCCTGTATACGGTTTTTAAATGGCAGACCGTTGACTATTGAGGTATAATAAATAAGTATACATACATAATACATAAAAAGGCAGATAAGATGCTTTATAAGATAAAACAATATATATATAAAGCTATCTAAAGCTATATTTTGATACTGCAGATTATTATATATTGGATACATTATCCAATATATAAGTCCATTATAAAAAAAAAACGAATGAAATTCTTTAATAATATTAGTCATTAACAGTAACATACCAACAGTCAACATCAGTCAACTTGTGGTATTTATTATTCAAATAATATGCTCAAGGTCAATTATGCAATAACTGACTTCTTTCGGTTTCAGACCAGTAGAGCAAGCACAGATAAATTGTGTCGTCACCAAATCAGGCACAACAACAACGAACGAGATTACCACTGAAAAGTAGGCAAACAGCTGTTTTAATAAAGAAAATCAAGATTAGACAGGCCATATACGCAACTTACAGTTACGATTTCCTTACTGCGAAAAGGAGAGGTAGAGGCAAAGTAAACGTAAACAAGTAAATATAATAAAAACCCGTTTTTTTTTATTTTCTAAAAATTAAGCTTAAAATCTTACAACAATTGTACAGACACAAAGGCAGCACACCATTCACAATCAAATCTAGGTTAAATGTGAAAGGATTATTACTTTGGATTTTGAAATAAAAAATTTCAAGTTTCCGAACATGTTGCCAGCATGGTAAAATGGCATAATGGCTCACTACTTCAATTAATGATTACTAACTGCAATGCAACAACACCGCAGCTTTGTCAACAACAACAACAACCGCGTGAATCGTGAATGAGTAATTTCAATTATCTTATGCATACAAAATATGTAGTACAAAAGGAAAATGCAATGATGAAATATTCAAACCGATTTCGATTTTTTTGTCATTAAATATTATACAATAGCAAAAATAAAAATGTTAGTACTGCTACACAAGCTTTAGGTGCAAATTAAGCATAACCTTTAATGAAACAATTGGTATATTTACCTTTTCTTTGGATTCTTTAGCTGCTTTTAGTTTTCGCACTAAATCGCCTTGATTTTTAATTTCTTCCAAAATTTGTTCTCGCGTCTCACTCATTCTACTCAAAGTTTTCTGCCAAACTCTTTACTTATATTATTCACTAAATTACTTTTATTCTTTTTGAAAATAAATTTACAAGAACTTTTATAGAGTAAATATGTAAATTGCAACAAAAGTTAATACAATAATCGAATACCTATTTATGTATCAGCGACACAAAAGTTTTACACACGCGGTCAGACATTAGTTTACCAAAAATGTATGACAGGTTGCAAATCTCTCGTACAACAGTGTTGCCAACTTGTTTTTTTTAACGACATGTTACCAAACATTTTATTTAATATTATGTGCAATTATTTATATGCAATGTTAACAATTATATATGTTACTCACAATATATAACAAATATTGGTTTTAGAATAGTTAGAATATTATAGTTTGAATTGTTTTAACGAAAAAAAACAAAAATCATTTAAATCACATAATAAATTGTTATTATTATTATTATTACATAATTGTTATTATTATTTAAATAATAATAATAAATAATAATAACAACTTTTAATAATTATTATTATAATTAATATTATTATTGTAAAAGCTATATAAAATAATTTATAATATATATATATAATTTATAATTTATATAAATATATGAAATATATAAATATATTTTTATATATTATAAAATTATATTATAATGAAATTAAAAATATATAGTAATATGTATAGTAATATGAAAAAGAAAACTAATTTTAACATTAGAAAACTAATGTTAAAATTCTTTACATCTTTATTCTTTGATAATTTACTTTAATTACTAAATAATTGATATCACTATTTATTGCATAAAATTCCAGTCGAAAGTATATTTGTTGACAGTATTCGCAAACATACCAGGTAAAAAAGTCAAAATATTTTTATTGTGATTTATTTATATTATATATAATTATAAAACAAATTTATTATCTATGAATTATCTATGAATAAATACCGCAATAATTATATAAATATATGCATATATATCGATAACTAATAATTGATATTAGTTATAATTTTTTTCTAATAAAACTATTTCACTTAAAAACTGTTTATATATATATATATGTAATTTAAAAAATTATTTCAATGCTTTTAACAAAAAAATAACAAAATAATTTGAATTTAAAGTCAATATGAGAAAGAGAAAAAGATCTTGTGTTGTGTTAAAAATAATTAAATAAATTATTCTTGCACGTTGACTTGCTATTGCGGATTTTCGGGTATATACAGTTTAATTATAACGTAAGCTGTTTTTAATATTTATATTTAATTTAATACAATTTATATTTAATTATAATTTATATTTAAATAAAATTTATTTTATATTTATATGTAAATATTTATAACAAATTTGTTTAGTGATTTTTTATTTCTCACTTGTAACCAGACGTACCCCGCGTAAGCGATATAGTTAGAAAATATTCTAAAGCGTTTTTTAATTGATTTATATTTATTTCTGTACATTGCCTTTTTTTGAATCGACACGTTTCATCCAAAGGTTTTACTATTTTTCCTAAATATATTTTTCTAATAGTTTCTAATAATGCTTCTTCAAAATTAGCTTCTGTCGCTGAAGAACTAATCTTTGAGTGTAAATCTCTTTTCATGGTTTGGAATTTGTTTGTAGCAAAATTCACCATTTTCAATTAAGGTCGACATATACTCATTGTTGTTAAAACCCATTTCATGAATATATTCTTGGGTTCATGACGAAAGCAATCGTCTCTATTGAAAAGTAACTCCGGGAGGTAGATCATACCACACATGTACACTCGGTTATTAGGTCGTTAGAGCAGTATTCATGACCGAATGTAAACGTTTTACAAATAAAATGTACAATTCATTCCTGGCTCACTTCACGGTTTTCGTGGTTTTTGAAACTAATTCTGTTAGGTGACATCATACCAATTAATGTGACATCGCACAGCGAGCAATTCTATGAATGTTCTAACAAGTTATTGACTTCCTCGTCCGTCTTCTGACATGAGTAATAAGAAAATGTTGATTGTATCATTTGTCCAATTTTAGATTAATTTATAGATTGTTACTATATGCAATAACATGGATATTCGACGTACACTGAAACTTCGCAAACAGAAGCAAAATTATTAGTAAAGAAAGCATTGAATTACTAATCTTTTCCTATAATTTTCGTTTCTTCATCATTTTCCGTTTTTTTTCTAAGGCTTCTTGACGCATATCTTCTAAATCTTCTTGTATACCTAAAAACGAAGAAATAAAAAATATAAATTAATTATTTTAAGTATTTATAATTATTCTGTATTTTAATACAATTCATGTCTTCCCCTCCTTTCGTCTGACTCTACACTTACCAATTTTTTTGCTAATATATTCTTCTCGTTGTACTTGAGCGTAATTCGATTCCATGGCAGCATCGTCAAAATCTTCATCTTTATACTTCGACTTGTCATAACCGAATATTGCGCGAATTTGTGATGAATAATCATCTTCACAGTCACCGTCATCAATAAAATCGTCCATTTCTGAGTCATATTCATCTTCATCATCATCATCTATTATACGTCCTAAAACAAAATTATTTTTATTTTTATTTTTATATAGTTTATATAATTTTTATCAATACTATATAAACAAATTTTACATGTTTTAAATAATACTTACTTTTAAGTGCTTGCGGTTTCGTCTTTGCACTGGTACTTCTCCGCACATCTGCAGGAGGGAACTGTCTAGTTTTTTGCACTGGAGAAGGAAATTGTCTAGGTTTTATTGCACTATTATCACGTGGGGGAAATTCCCTAGTTGGGCCACTATATGGTTTTTTACTAGCAGTATTTGTAGCAGGTTGTAAGTCTTTGGCACTGGTTTTACCACCCGATGTAGGCACATTGGACTGGTATGGTTTTTTTGTAAGTGATGATGTTTGTTTGGAATTTGTTGATATAATAGGTTTATTATTGTTAATTGATAAAGATTGTGCTGATGTAGAACTTGGTGCTGGACCTGGTTTGCTTGTCTTTTGCTGAGCTGCAGATTTATTTGTTGAGGAATTTGACATTTTATTAGTTGTCAATGTTACTTTGTTAGAAGCCGAGGCATTTGAAGGTTTACTGGATTGATTAAGTTTTGGTATGCGTCCATTTGATTCCATACGTGGTGTAGCTTCTTTACGATCCTTATTTGCACCACTGCCATGACTTTGACTTTTTTCAAACCGCTCTTTTGCTTTCTTTCGTTCTTCTAACTCCTGCTTCTCCTTAGACGTAAGCAAACGTTCGGGTTCTTTTTTTTTTATTTGAGGCAAAAGCTTAATTGGTTCATGTTGCTTTTTTTCTGCTAATTTCAGCAAAGCTTGGAAATCCATAGGCGGTGGAAGTGGTTTTCGGTTTTTGATCTTTTTTTGTTCTTCCTCACGTTTTTTACGTTCTTCCTCTCGGCGTTCAGCTTCCGGATCATATAATGATTTTGATGAAGAACTGATCCTTCCATTGATTTTGTTGGAATCTTGACTATCTAATGAAGCAACTGAGGAGGTAGTTCGATGACGCGTTAGGCCTTTCTTATCTTCCGTTTCTCTATTAATTGCTTCTTTAACACGCTCTTTAGTACCCGTAAGATCTTTCAACGACTGTGGACGAGAAGCTGATTGAAAGCTTTTATCTTCTTTAACATCCTTAACTTTTTCGATATAATTATGATAAAATGCATTAGCCGTGTGCGACACGTAGCCATAGTCGTCCTGATCAGGCTGATCAGGTCCTTGCATTGTAACCGCAGTGTGTTCCGTATTAACTGCATCATCTAATACCGATTTATTTGCTGACTTTGTAACCTTTAACATTTTTTTTATTTTATTTTTAGATTTTTCATCACGCATTGCTAGTAAGTTTTGTAAGTCTCTTTGTTTCTCTTTTTTGCGTTGCTCCTCCTCAGCCTCGCGTTTCTTTAAAAACTTTTGGATATTTTCTGATAATTTTTTAGCTTCTTTCGATTCCTTTTTTGGAGGTGCAAATTTTGTGCTATAATATTTGACCTGAAAAATTAAAAAAATTTATTAATGGATCATACCATATGGACACATAATTTTAAGTTCAATTTCATATTATTACTATTATTGAATAAATGTTATTTGTTTCCAAAAGATGATAAGTATGTACATTTATTAAAGACATACATACATATGCTATAGAAGAAGCAAATAATGTTTTTAAATAATTACTTACATTTTTTTGATCATTTTGGCTGTTCTTCTTTGCCACAGACAACAAAGCACAGAAATCCATTTTCGCTGAAGTTTCCATTTTAAATTCTTCACGGATAACAAAATATGAAACTTACAAGATCGATGAACAACTTAGTAAAATTAATGACAAGACTTTTTAACAAATATTTAATTGTGTTCAATAATCAGTGTTTCCTTTCCTTGACGAATTCGTTGTGAATCAATTTAACAAAAAAAATGAACTCATAAAAGGCTTACACTTGCAAGCATGGGTTGACGCCAACAGAATGACGTTGAAGCGATTTGTGAATTAAATAAATAGTCATGCAGGTAACGCAAAAGCAATTAGCCAAAATAAGTAATTAACAAAATATTTAAATTTGTTCTTCTATTTTATAAAGTATTCCCACACCATTTATATTCCGCAGCTACCTGCTAAGCCAGTCAAGCCATTGTTGTTTGTGTTATTAGTATGATCGGTGGATATTAGATGTGATTAACAGGTAAACGAAACATTTTTATTAGGTTAGTTTTGAAATCGAAGACGGTTTCTAACATTTATACTTTTCACGTTTTTTTTTAATTTTTTAACCACAAAACGTTGTTTTTAGAATTCATTAATAAAAACTGTTCAATTTCACATAATTGGCGATGAACAAAGAACTTGGGAAATACGACAATAGATTAATTCACTACATTATTTGACACCTATTTTTAAATTTGTGCTTGTTTAGATTTGACCAATTTTACTAAATACTCAAATCCAAGGAGTAAATTCTTTTTATTTTTTTATAAATAAAGTAGTAAATTAGTACATGAATGAGATAGAAATAATTTGTTTACGGTAACGTAATAATGATATAAAGTTTTGACCTTGAATATATAACATTTATGATACCAAACATTCATCATATGTTTTTTGGTTTACCGATCCTATATTTTCAATTTAATTAATTTTATTGTATTCTTGGAAGGTATAACATATCCTTTTTCTACATAAATATTTCACAACAAAAAATTTAAGACATAACGGAATATTACATTGTCTCTATCGATGGATTATATATCAATATTGTATGTTGATATACATGTACCAGAAAGATACTTGTTGCTATAGAGTTACGTGTACTAGAAAAATATTTATAGATATTTTATTTTATATTGTATTTTCTTTACTAAATAAAAAAATATTCAACCTATTTCATTCTTTGATATATGCTTATTTTGTTTATGTTAAAACTACTCTTGTATTGTTACGAATTTGCCCTTTTATAATTATTCTATTCCCTTTTGTATCTCTGGATTATCAACAAACACCAAAAGGAACCACGTTTTTTTAATTGTTAATAACTATTTAACTTTATTTACTCTTCGGAATGTGCCAAAGCAGCTCAAATTTGTTAATGCAAATTTGAACTCCAATCTACAAACTGAACTAAACTTCATCAAACTCCAACAACTTTTTCTGAAACAAATATCTAATATTAGTTTTTATTATTTCTATCAGTTTTTCAGTGTTGCTACGATTTGATATTTTTTAAACTAAATTTGTCACAGTATTTATTTATAAAGCATTCTTCAAAGAAAATTGTGTCGTTTGGAAAATGCAAAATTGTCTATATAAAATTAATATCCTATTCATACACACATATCTAGAGAGTCTTGTTTTGTTTGTTAGGCTCGATTCACATAGAGCTGTCGAATGTTTATTATTATGTATTTTTATTATTATGTAAACAAGAGCAACGTGTAAATTAACAATAACTAGTCACATTGACTAAGAAGAAGTTTTTCAATTTAATATAACAAGTAATATAACTTATCTAAAGTGGGCAATTTGTGTTAATAGCATTCAACAGTGAAGTTATTGTGAATGATCTTTCAAGCCATCCAACATAAATGTTAATCTATGAACACTGTCAAAAGCTCCGTTGGCAATGCTGTTAGCCATATGATTGGCGTTCTGAGAAAAATTTCGTCCTCAGTAAAGTTACATATAATTTTAAATTGATAAAATAGAAATACATAAGTAACATCTTAGAAGACCTAAGTAATACATCTGAAAACAGCATTTTAATATGTATCGGTTTAGATATTGAACATAAAGCTGATGTAATACCGATTATATTAATTAGAAATTAATTGCTATAATTTGGGTGGAGAACGTTTTTTTGTTCAACATTTTTATACATTGACAATGGCGAGGGCTCCGCAAACAACCAATTATGAAACTTTAATGCAAAGGCTGCGCATAAGTGATGGTTCAAAAACTCCAGGAGCTATAGAAAACTTTATACATGAGAACTCGCCACAACATCAACAAGTAACAGAAGAATATAAAATTTATGAGCGAAATAATATAATAGCCGCATCAAAATTTGCCACACCGAAAGCAATAGAACAATTAGCTAATAACACTGCAATCGTAAATTCTACGTCAAATACAACATATGAGCAACAAAAACATCAAAACTATTCCCCAGTTTATGAAAACTTAGACTTTTATGGCAATGTTAGCTCAAAATTTGATTCCATGCACAAACGTGCTCAGCCGCAAAGTCCTGCAAATGCAACCAATTCCTCAAAAAGTCATTATTTAGTAATGCAAGCAAGTAATAGTGGCCGCTATACGCATACACCAGTTCCTGAACACGATGTGGTGCCAATTTATGAAAACCTCATGCCACAATCTGGTAAACGTTAAAAATTATTTAATAAATAATATATCTTTTTTACCATTTTGTTTACTTTCTAGGGCAACGTGCTCAACCACAAGCTTCACCAGCAACAGCTACAATATATCAACACACCGATATTGCACCAAGTGTAGGTAATATTTCAAATACAGTGCCTCATCATGCTCGAGGTAATTCAGGTCTTGATATGTCATCATTACTTGCATCGCCTATACATCGACGTAGTACATCAAATTCATCGTTAAAATCAGCTGCAATACCAACGGCAGTTGGCACATTACCGTTTCCAGCACAACGTTATCGGAATTTATCATTGCCCAGCCCATTGGGAAATGCATCACCGTCGTCTCCTTCAAAATCAGTGTCGAGTGTAGGATCAAATGACTACAAACTGTTGCAACATACACCAATAAAAAATTTGGTATTTTATATTCGAAATTATTTTTGTTATATGTATTGAAACGATATTTTTACATAGCAACATCCCATTCCAACATATCCTCCCAGTATTAATGCGGCTGTAAATCCAAATTATATTGAAGATATTAACAGTTCAGATTATGTTTGCATGACGGCAAATCTTAATCGTACACCAACGAAACTTGCAGTAAATACTGCAACGATGGCACAACACACAAATCCACAAAACGATGCTCCAAAAAAACTGCCATTATATACCTCAAATTGCCCAAACAAAGAAATAAACATGGCAATAGAAGATTGCAATCCTACCGAAATCAATGACAGTAGAGCTATAGATACAGTCTTACCGCAAACACTTAACAGTTCCATTGCTGTGGGAAATAGTGGAAGCAATGTGCCCACAACAACTTCACCTACTCCATCTCAGAATAGTACAGGTAGGAATAAGAACATAACTTTGTATAATTGAATGGTGTTGGATTTTAACAAATGATATTTTTGCATTTAACATAAAAATTATTAGTCCAAGCAAACATCAATAGCACAACAACGAGAAGAGGTAATAAATTAAAGATAGATTACAAACAATAATATTATTATAGTTATTTTATGTTTTAGTTTTAATAAAATTTATTTTTAAAATTAATGAATTATTTATGTATTACTTTGAAGGACTCTCGAAGAATTTATTGCCATACAGTGTTACACAGAGATCGGCTGGGCCGACAGAAGCTCAACGCAAAATTGAGGAATTGACACGTCAGCTAGAAGAAGAAATAGAGCAAAGTGAAGAGCATGGAGAATACTTTGGTAGGTCTTAATAAAATTGAAAATCAAACTTAATATTGAATTGTTTATTTCAGGAATATGTCACACTTGTGGTGACAAAGTAAAGGGAGCCGGACAGGCATGCCAGGCAATGGGAAATCTATATCACACAAATTGTTTTATTTGTTGTTCTTGTGGACGTGCACTACGCGGCAAAGCGTTCTACAATGTCCACGGTCGCGTATACTGTGAAGAAGATTATATGGTAAGAAAATTATATTCTTATCAGAATATTTTGCACTATTCCCTTCTTTTATCTTTTTAGTACTCTGGTTTTCAGCAAACTGCTGAAAAATGTGCAATATGCGGTCATCTTATCATGGAAATGGTATTTTTTTTTAAAAAAAGGTAAATCTAGTTTTTAATTTTTTAAATATAGATTTTGCAAGCTATGGGCAAGTCATACCATCCAGGTTGTTTCCGTTGCTGCATCTGCAATGAATGCTTAGATGGGGTGCCATTTACAGTAGATGTGGATCATAAAATTTACTGCGTTAATGATTATCATCGTATGTTTGCTCCAAAGTGTGCAAGTTGCGGCAAAGGTAACTAACCATTTTGCGATTTATGTGAAGATCGAAGATCAGTTTGTAATGAGAACATTGCTTTTTTAAGGCATTACACCAGTCGAAGGTACAGACGAAACTGTGCGTGTTGTTTCCATGGACAAAGACTTCCATGTGGACTGTTATATATGTGAAAAATGCGGTATGCAATTAACTGATGAACCGGACAAACGTTGTTATCCATTAGATGGACGTTTGTTGTGTCGCACATGTCATTTACAACGTCTGACTTTGCAATCTTCACCACATGCAAGACATCAGGAGCCTGTCTGTGCCTCTTATCAGTTTATGGGCTAAACTTCAAGTGAAGCATATTGAAGTCACAAATCTACTAAGACAAAACTATGCAATATTCCTCATATTTTATAATAAAAAAAAGTTTTTTATGTAGTTTAGAAAACGTTAAGTAATACCTTACTTAATAACACTTTGACTTTAAATTTAATAATAATTAAGATAATATTTTACTTTAAATAAAAGACACACATTTACAGATCTTAATATTAAATGTAATACTTAAAATTTTATAAAATGAATTAAATACTCAATAAATTTATATAAAATTCTATACAAAGCCTGTGGCACTTACTGAACAAATCAAACTTCGTCAACGAAGTAAATTTCAAAAAACTAATAAAACTGCCATTTGGAATGTGCGTCTTAACAACAAAAACAAACTTAAAATGTAGTTATTTGTACACAAAATATTTGTAAATATAATAGAACCATCGAAGTTTATAGTTATCAATAACTGTGACCATAGATCTATTGTTTCTAACACTCTCAGACAGTAAATAATGTAAGTTTTAAGCTGTACGTGCCTTGAATCAAAAACGTACATATTATTTACCCTTTCCATTTCATTGTGTCCATTTTAAATATATAATGAACAATCATAAATAAAAAGTGTAGGTATAGAGCGAGCAGTTTTTCCGCAATACCTTGTAAAATAAGGAACATTTTTTATTAAAAAACGATCATATATGTTCCTTTCCGTTGAACTCTCACAAGGTTTCATTTACAATAAACAAGGAGAACCAGAATATGTACTGTAAAAATTTATTAATAATAAAAATGAAAAACAAAATAAAACTCAGTGCATCATTATTTCTGTCTGAATAAGACGCTTATTTGTGTCTCCGGGCATGCGGTACGGGACGGTTGCCGCCATATTTGTAATTGCTTTCGCACTCTGTCGTAGATGATGCAATTGCTGTGGTCACATGGAGGCAGAACAGAATAATTTTTTTTAGAATAATTTAAATCGTAGAAATCAAAATGCTTACATTATCACGAGTGGAGTCCAACATATTGCTTTCCTTATTTTTTATAGTCTTATATTGTGTGAATAGAATGTCCATTGTAGCCAGTAGTATATCAGGAAACACTTTACATATTTCACCGCTTAAACGCCTAAAGTTGTTGATGCATTCATCAAGGTCATTCATCGACATTGGCACTAGTTTGGTCTTACTTAAAATTTCTAATGCGATTTGATAATTTTGCTCATGATAATAATCGAAGAAAGTAACCAAATCGTTAAGCAAATTAAAAGTGTGCAGCATTTGACCATCACAATCAACGTGACTTCCTAAATTGAAACAATATAATTTTTTGTTTATTTACAAAACTTATTGACCTTACCGCGTATACGATTGCTGAACTCTGCTGCCTTTATTGCCAACCTCTCACGTAACGAGCCTTTCTTGGAAACTTCCTGTACAACTTGGGACAACATAACGCAAATGTAACGAATCACCTGACCTTGTAACTAAAATGAAATTAATACATTTTATATAAGTAGCCATAACTACTGCAATTAGAATGGGTCACAATGCAGGTGAGAAATTCTACGAAGACTTGAGATACAGTCCCAATTGGAAGTGAAAACTTTAATTTACTTTGACCCAGACTAGTTTCAAATAGAAGTTGTCTTAATTTTTAACATTCCTATCGCACACACTTCCGGGGCCCCTACAATTCCACTACACTAAATGTCTTCATTTCCAATGAAGTTACATTGAATAAGATTTAGTGTAAGGCATAGTACACCGGTACACCGGTTTTGTGAGAATATGTTGTTCCCAAATAATATAGAGATGGACGGACGAATCTTGAAAACTTTTATTTACTCTACGCCTGTTTTGAATGAATTTTATACAAAGCATAGAATTTGCTAATCAGTCTTACCCCTCCTATATCAAACAATGCGATAGCATCCTCGAACATGCCTTTCCGAACCAATTCCTGCGCTACCATGCTAGCAGCTTTACGAGTATCAAAATCAACACATTCGAATTTTTCAAAGAGACCGCTGAAAAATTTATTTCATTTTTAAATTATACTTCCGAAAAAAGCTGTACATTTGCGCTTACCCTGAAACTATACCATTGGGCTGCATCGTTCCAAATAACATGTCGTAGCTACGGCACTCAATTGCTAAATCCCTTACGCACACCAAAAACAAATTACATCCTTCAGGATCTTTAAGATTGCGTAGAAAAAAGAAATATTGGAGTGCTTCTGCGGGGTCAGTGATTTCAAATTTTTTGGCATATAGCATAACCAAACGTGCCATATTTAATCGACGCATTGGAATAGGATCTTCAATGTCAACAGACACTAAAATAAAACATTGAATGAGACAACAATATGACACCAAAAAACGCAATTTTAGATTCACTCGAAAACAGTAGACTCTCTGACTTACATAGTGGTTCTTGTACATTACGTGGACCTGCAATTAAACACATTTCGTTCAATGCCAATGCAATATGAACGGCATGTGTGCGATATTGTTCTGTGCGTGCCAGAAATTCGATAGCTGCTTCAAATTGTCCAGTCAAAGCCAATACTTGGAAATAAAGATGACGTTGCTCGTTAGCATTAAAATATGTTTCACCGTATTTTTCCAAAATCGTAGTCTGCAGGCCCGAGTATGTCAAAACTTCTGTATTATCAGCAGATACATCTGAACGCAAAATTGACAACTGAATCCATAAGAAGTCATCGGTAGTCTTGGCGACTTCCGAGTGTTGCTCATTTACATCGCAACCAGCGATTATACAATACACCTAGAAAGACATGTATACGTAAGTTTATAGTCGTACTATTATATTAAGTAAGCATACAGCCTTCTTATATGGATCTGTGGAATTCTTGATTTTATTACAATAGTGCAATTTTAATTGACCTTCCAGCTTGGAATTGATTTTCTGCTCAGGCTTATTAATTTTATCTTCAAGCACCTGTACAAAGTCTTCATGTCCCGCACTAGAAAAAATCCACCCACTCATGGAAATTTGATTTAAATAATTTTTACATACGGTTTACTTACCCTCCAAGCTGCATACACCGCAGAGCGGATGGCAAATCTCCACAGCGTAAACAATAATAAACCATTGGCCATAAAGGCTTTCCTTCGATAGTTGCATCTTGTAAGCCAATCCAGTTACCTTGATTGAATGTTAAGCCAACAAAGGAAGAAACAAGATTAAAAGTACTGGGTACCCCACCGCGCTGAGCTTCACGTAGATTTCCACTTATGATTGTTGTCATATAAAGCTTATATCTACAGAAATTATTAGTAGCTTTCTTGTTTGATTGATATTATTTTAAAGTACCTTACCTGTTTTCTAGATATTTTTTAGCCTGATCTACAAACTGATGTATTTGTAGGCGACTTTGAATAGGGTCCCGCGTACGCGAAATAGCAGACACATTTACCATATACTTCATAATTTCCCAGATTTCATTCACTTTTTGATCTTCAAAACTCCCCGCTACTTTGGCAAATATCTGTACTAAATTCGGACGACAGCCTCCTTTAATAATTATCGAATTATATTCGAATACCTCACGTGCGTACGCCATTTCCTTTGAATATTTAAAGTTTTCATTTTTATTGTAAAATTGTAAAGAAACATTTTAAGTGATAGATACCGTGCGGTTCAAGTTTGAACGCATGCTTGAATTCTCTAAAAGTATTGATTGCTCCGGCACTTTTTGCAGATCAACCCAATTTTGCGATGGTCCAACTAAAGAATTTAATATGTTGATTTTTTCTTGCCGCCACTCAGCTTTGATGTTTTCCCATCTTCGTCTTTGTGCAGCTTCGTTCGACTAAAAGAATTTAGTGTTCAAAGTTACAAGTATTGCTTGCCTAGTATGCTCATAGAATACTTACACTTTTATGGACTTCTTCTATAATGGATAAAATTGCATTTTCCTTCTCATTTTTGAGAAAACTTTGTATATCAGTATCGGCAATTGGATCTAAAGGCTCGAACGTTTTTTGTGTGTTGAGCGATTCTAATTTTTGCGTTAACTTAGGTAGATCGATACCCTTGGAACCGAGTAATATATGTCTGTAATCCAAATTTAATAAAAAATACATATTTTGTATGGCTTAACATATCTTAACTTACGCTTGTATATCTTGTGCTCCAGTCTGTGTCACACGAGAATGCAATTCCTCTGTTGCCTCTAACACCTGTGATATGGTCCGTTCGACACGAGGCAGTTCTTCGGAGTCCTGTGTTTCATTTGTAAGCCGTTGGGCTTGTTGCAGTAATGTATTAAAATCCATAGTGCAAGCACTTTTATGTGTTTAATTCAGAATACACAAAAAATATTATTTCTTTACCAATGAAACTGTAAAATTTGTGTGCAGACAAAACGCGCCGCTTTTACAAAATTGACAGCGCAAGTGCTTCCAACTTTACCTATTCTAAAAAAAGCCAACCATCCACATATGGGCACGGCAAACACATACATAATTTTATTCTAGACAGGTGCATTCTTCTTCCCTGAATGCTCCAATAGAACAACTTCTGGTTGCTTAAGAATATGTTTTAAAATTATAAAAATGAATTTATTAACGATGAAGAGATGGATATATCAAAAATTTTAAATATTTGGTGAATGTGCCGATCTCTTTGTATCCTTTTTATATCACTAAGTTCTTTCGGTGGCTCGCATCTGTAGCAGAAAACAACAATTTGCTTGCCATAGTTACTTAAATGTATGCTATCTCTATCTAAGTGGAAAGAAAATATTTGACAGATTACAACAGTGATATATAGACCAGTATATGTTTTTTGCCACACTTGCGAGCCACCGAAAACGCCTATTCTTAACATTGCTTTTAATTAATAATTCATTTTTATTTTAATTTATTGATTGATTTTTATAAAAAAAAAGGTTTGCTTTACTTATATGCACATATGCAAGATTTTCTGTTTGTGAAAACAACACATTTCCCGAGGTACAAATACACCGGTTCTTATGCCGGAACTTGAACCGACATATTGTTTTTTCTCTCAATCTCAATTTTATAATTTGTATTGAAAACAACAACAATTTTACTCATGCCGTGTTCGGGACACTACATAACATGACCCTTAATCGTATTATGTCAAAACTCTCAGAAATGACAACTGCCTATGATTATTTCTTTAAAGTATTTAAATGTTGGCAACTATGTTTCTGTTCTAAGCTTGTTTAGTTCGTTCGATGTGTATCCATACTTTTTCACCAAGAACAAAAAATTTGCATTAAATTTGTTGGAAAAAAATAAACTATCACAAATAATTAATAAAACATTTTTTTAGATATAAAATTTATAATAACCAATTTATTAAAATGGATGTGAAATCATTTTTACATGAATGGTGTGCAAAACAGAAAACGGAGCCGGTATTTAATATTCGCCCGACAGGTAGGTGGATAAAATTTGTGGAGTAATCAATATTTCATTCCTTTGATTATAACAACACAGGGCCAAAACATCGTCAGCGCTTTTTGTGTGAAGTACGTGTAAATTCGTATCCGTATGTGGCGGCAGGTAATTCAACTAATAAAAAGGATGCAGAGAAAAATGCTTCTCGCGATTTTCTCAATTATCTTGTAAGAACCAACAAGATAAAACCTTCTGATGTTCCTGCCGATGTAGGTGTATCTACCACCGATACTGGAGGCTCTGCAGGCGATAATGCACAGCGGCCACAAGTTTTTGAAGGTGGAATGGGTCCACAAGATTTGGGACGAGCTTATCGTCCCTTAAATCGCAATAATAGAGACGGTGATACTTTTTTCGACCAAGCACAACAGCAAGAGGAAATGAAAGAAGCTGAATCATTCGATGTCAATGCAGCTATACATGGAAATTGGACAATTGAAAATGCTAAGGCCAAATTACATCAGTTCATGCAAATGAATAAAATAACTGCTGACTATAAGTATACCCCAGTTGGTCCCGATCATTCTAGGTATGTGAAGTAAAGTCAAAATTTGTATCATAAAAGCTCATTCGGTTGATTTAAAGTCCTAAATAAACCGAAAAAGCATTTGAATAACAATTTCTCAACGTGCGGTGGTGGTCCTTTTAAACAGTAATTACGATGTCCCCAATTTTATACAAGTCTTTCTCTATTGCAGAAAATTTTATAAAAATAATTGAATTTTGAATCAATTGAAGTATCTAAATCTAACACTCTGTAGTGATATACATAGTGTTAGTTGCTTTCATAGATAGTCATATTTATTTTTATTTATATATTTTATTTTGTTTAAAGAACATTTGCAGTAAGCTAAGTTTAAACAGCGATATACTAGTGTATAAAACAAGCATGTTTTAAGGGACCACCACTTCTAAAGTATATAATATCACATTTTCTTAGTGGTAAGTAATTGTGAAAATTAATGCTATATTATAGTTTTATATATTAAATTACCATAATGCAGCATTTAAATAACGTATTAAATTTCCTATACAAGATACTAATATTTAAAAGCATATTTTTCTAGGAGTTTTATGGCAGAATTGAATCTATATGTGAAAGTACTCAGACGCAATATTACAGCACGTGAAACGGGATCCAATAAGCAATCAGCTAGCAAATCTTGTGCATTATCCTTAGTGCGGCAGCTCTTCCATTTGGGCGTTATAGAAGCTTTCTCTGGTACTCTTAAGAAAAGAAAGGATGATGAGGAATTAAAACCATATCCAGTTAAAATAAATCCTGAACTGATGAAAAACGTTCAGGAAGTGATTGATGGGTTAAACTTAAAAACCATGAAGACTGACAACGTTAAATTTGAGCCCGAATCAAGTGGATTTAGTTTATCTGTAGGTCGTATAAATATTTTTTTATAAAAACATATAAAAACTTATGGTTTTTATAAAATTGTAGATCAATAATGTTCCCGAACATGGTCAGCTTCAAAATATTGATCAAGATACTTCAGGTTCTGTTATACCATGGGCCCCTCCTCAGCCAAATTGGAACGCTTGGACTGCAAGCAATATTGATGAAGGCTATTTGGCAACAGCTTCACTTGATGACCTATCTTATGACTTAGAAAATGATCAGAAAAATAAACGTCTTAATAACGTTCAATATCAAGAATTTGTACAGTTTCGGAATAACTTACCAATTTCATCTATGCGTGACAAAATCATGGAAACAATTAATGATAATCCGGTTGTGATTATACGTGGAAACACTGGTTGCGGTAAAACTACCCAGATAGCCCAATACATTTTAGAGGATTATATTGGTTCCGGACAAGGTGCTTTGTGTAATATATACATAACTCAGCCACGTCGTATATCTGCAATATCCGTAGCTGAGCGTATTGCAATCGAACGCTCTGAAAACTTAGGAGAATCAGTTGGATATTCAGTACGCTTTGAAACAACCATGCCCCGTGCCTATGGTAGCATACTTTTCTGCACTGTGGGTGTATTGTTACGTAAATTGGAAGCAGGCTTGCGTGGTATATCGCATATCATTGTCGATGAAATACATGAACGGGATGTGAATAGCGATTTTTTATTAGTTATTTTACGTGATATGGTACATACTTATCCTGAAATCCGTGTTATTCTTATGTCTGCTACTATAGACACTACATTATTTTCCGATTATTTTGGAAAATGTCCCATTATTGAAGTTCCCGGTCGAGCATTTCCGGTGCAACAATACTTTTTAGAGGATTGTATAGAAATGACCAGGTTTGTACCCTCGCCTGAGTCGAAGAAAAATCGGAAGGATCGTGATGAAGAAGATGTTGCAGGAAATAGCGGGGAGGGTACAGAACAAAATTTAAACAAAGTCTGTGATCAAAAATATTCCCAGCAAACAAGAAATACAATGGCGTTATTATCAGAATCGGAATGTCCCTTTGAACTTATTGAAGCCCTTTTATTATGTATTAAGTCAAAGAATATCCCTGGCGCAGTGTTAATATTTCTACCTGGATGGAATTTGATATTTGCTTTAATGAAGTATTTACAAAATACGCAATTCGGCGGTCCCGAATTTCGTATTCTGCCATGTCATTCGCAGATTCCGAGAGAAGAACAAAGAAAAGTATTCGAACCTGTTCCAAATGGCGTTACTAAGGTAAGAAATTTTATTTAACTAATTGTTTATATAAAAATAACAAATTTTTTCAGATTATCCTTTCAACAAATATAGCGGAAACTTCTATCACCATAGATGACATAGTTTTCGTGATCGATATGTGTAAAGCACGTTTAAAGATGTTTACTTCTCACAACAATCTTACTAGTTACGCCACTGTCTGGGCGAGCAAAACAAACTTAGAACAGCGTAAAGGTCGAGCAGGTCGCGTTCGTCCAGGATTTTGCTTTACTCTATGTTCCAGAGCACGTTTTGAAAAACTAGATGAACAACTTACCCCCGAAATGTTCCGCACTCCACTACATGAATTAGCACTGTCTATAAAACTATTACGTTTGGGCTCGATACGTCATTTTCTATCAAAAGCATTGGAACCTCCGCCGTTAGATGCTGTGATTGAAGCAGAGGTTTTATTAAGAGATATGCGTTGTTTAAACAATAAAGACGATCTTACAAGCTTAGGGCGTATACTTGCGCGTTTGCCGATTGAACCACGGCTTGGAAAAATGCTAATACTTAGTACTGTTTTCGATTGCGCAGACGTATCTAGTAGTATGGCATCGTATTCAAGCACTTTTTCGGAAATATTTGCATTAGATATCGGTCAACGGCGTTTGGCCAATCACCAGAAAGCGCTGAGTGGACGCAAATGTTCAGATCATGTTGCTATGATTGTAGCATCACAAATGTGGCAAAATGCCAAAAATCGCGGCGAAAGTGAAGAAATACGTTTTTGCGAATACAAGGGCTTACAGTTATCGACAATGGTGATTATGGCTGAAGCTAAGAATCAATTATTAGATTTGCTACAGCAAACAGGTTTTCCAGAAGAAAGTATGATGTCATACAAAGTCGATGCTAATGCAGAAGATGACATGAAATTAGATATGGCAACTGCTTTACTTTGTCTTGGACTATATCCAAATGTTTGTTACCATAAAGAAAAACGTAAGGTCTTAACAACGGAATCTAAGGCAGCTTTATTTCATAAGACGTCGGTAAATTGTAGTAATTTGGCGGTTACGTTCCCCTATCCATTTTTTATATTCGGCGAGAAGATAAGAACTCGTGCAGTATCATGCAAACAGATGACTATGGTGTCGCCACTGCATCTTTTCTTGTTTGGAAGTCGCAAAATTGATTACGTAAGCAACAATGTAGTTAGACTAGATAATTGGTTAAATTTTGAAATAAACCCACAATATGCTGCTATGTTAGCTGCACTGAAACCAGCAATAGAGGATCTTGTATCTCTTGCATGTGACCAGCCTGATGAGATTCTACAATTGGATCCGGAACATTCAAAACTAGTGCAGGTAATTAAGGATCTTTGCGTTATGACTGCGGGCGATTATAACATAAAGCGAGAAGAAGGTATTATGCCGTTTCAAAGCCGTGGGAATTTTAGTAGTCGTGGTGGTGGCGATAGTTTTTCTGCAGCAAAACGTGGACGTATGGATTCCAGACTATCATCATTCAATAATAATGGTGATAATTATACAGGTGGAAATTACATGGGTGGAAACTACACGAGTGGTGGCAGTGGAGGGTATTATCGTGGAACTAATAAATGGGGTCATTATGGACGAGGTAGAAATCGCAGAATCTAAATACTTAAATACATTAATTTCATTTTTGCTAATATAAACACATCTAAATTGTAATCTATATAAATAATTGTTTTGTGCTTAAAAAAATATATTAAATGAATTAAAATGATAGTTTTTGTTTCGTTAAGCAGAGTTTAATCAAAATTGTAGTTATTTTGGTCCTCCCAATCGCTTACCTAATAATTTTGCTACGCCTCTTGCCTCACCTCATCCCCTTTCAGGTTAACCTTTTCCACAAACCATTTTGCAAAACTAAGAAATCTAAATATTAAATTTTATCGATTAATGTTGGATAGCTGAATGGATTCTCAGCACTCGCAGTTCATTGACTCAAATATTTCATTATTTATTCCTAAGAGCCGGTTTCATTGGGTTTTAGCATTGAGTAAAAATATAATATTTTTACGCAATGGTTGTAGTCACTGTTTACTGCTTTTTTTGCTTTGCCACCAAAAAACTGCATATAAAAGAACGTAAATTTCACATACATAAAAATGTAAACAAAAGTCGGCTGTTTAGATGCATTGTAGAGTGGAAAAAGCCGCTAAGTGTCACACAATTTCTCATCCCCTACTAGAATCCCGAAAAGTGATGGCTTTTTATTTAGTACTGGTAACATTTGGCATGCATACCAAATGAGAGCAGTTATCCTTTGTTAGTTTGCGGCCACTTCGGACGAGTTAAAAAGTCGTGCGTTAAAAATTTAATTTTTTTCGGGAAAAAGTTAATAAAAATAATAACTTGTACATTTTTAAGTTCATGAAATGGTTTTGTAAAGCTTGAGTATAAAATACTAGTGAAATTTGGAAGACACTAATAAAAAACAGAATGTGAAATTTTTGCTTGCGGCAAAGTGTGTTGAAAAATCAATAATTCTCAGACGGTCTTTTAATCCAATAGTCTGAAAAATGGTGCGAATAACTGATCCAATGAAATATGGAGATCATTTTTATGAATTGTACACTAACAATACCCGCAGGTAAAAAATTATTTCAAAAAAATTGAAATATTTTTTTCTTGAAAAATTTGTTTGCGAAAAATCGATTATGAAAATTTCAACCCTCTTCGCGGGGAGAAAACTGCTCTCACACATACATGCAAAGCATTCAGCAAATGTCAAAAACAGCTGTTTCGAGAGAGCGGTGCATCTGCTGCTATTTGTTTACTTTCGTAATGCCGTGGGTTTGTTTACAAATAATAATATATGTCAAGGGCAAGAGAGTAACGAACAAATTGACAAAAGTGAGGGCATTGACTTTGCTGTCGACTGGTAAAAATACGCAGGATTAAATTAAAATTTTTGAATAGAAGATAGAATTGTATGTTGTAATGTAGGTTACTTTTCTCCATGGTCTTTTATTATAGCAATCATGCCTGGATTTCTTCGCGCCACATAAATATCATATAATAACATATTTATTAACAAATTATATGTCTTATTGTATAGAAGTTATTGTATAGAAGTATTACTTACCTATATGTACATAGGTAAATAATAGATATCAAATTATTTTTGTTGACGACGTTAAACGTCTCTCTTTCCATCATTTGGATGACCCTCTTAGTGCACCTCTTCTGATAGGTTTTAAATTTCTCGCAACTTTGAAAAGTTTGACATTAGATGCTATTTAAATTCAGTGATCCTATTCTTCGGCAAAGAATTTTCGCCGCTTTGGTTTTTTCGCGAATTACATAATTTCATAATCCAATCCAGATGCGTTTTTCCAGCGATGAATCATAGAGTATGCATTTCTGTTGTATGTTGAACTTTGTTGGTTAATTGAATAATATTTATCTATTTTTATTATTTACACAACAGCCGATTTCGTGAAATAAAACCACGCTTTTGCCTTTTTCTTAATGCTCTTTAATAAAGTGTATGTATACTAACTAAAACAAATCTGTTTGCCAGATTTTTCCAACAGATTTTTCTTCTTCTATACACACGCATCACTGGCTGTAATCAAGTACTTGTTTTTCCATATTTGTATCTCAAAAGCATTCCGATATATTTACCCTTTGTGTACAGCTCTTACTCTAATTTCTCGAGTTATGTTGCTATCACTGACAAGCTCTATTCCCAGATATACGACCTCCATCAATTGTTCTGTGCACATCAATCTTTTATCTCTTTGAGACTTTTGAAATCAAGCTTTTGTTTTACCTTCAAATTTTCAAAAGTTGTAAATTTTCCTCACCTTTTGCTATAACCGCATTACCTCATTTAAACTGCTAAGTATACTCATTTTTACCAAGTTCATTTTTTATCTGTATTTAATTCACTTAAGTTCGGCATTTGGTCAATGTCTTTAAAAAACACTTTCAATTCTTATTCCTTTTCTTCAACTTCTTCAATTTCTTCAATTTGAAGGTATTGTGTTAGTTTTTAAGGTGATTAAATTTTACTTTTTTCTGTTGTTGCATTTTGCTCTCGTGTCTGTTAATCGACATACCCAACCGATATTTTCTATCATTTAATACATTTAATAATTTCCATTGAATTATAAATCTGCATCTTTTTAATAGAAAAATACAAAATGATCGCAAAACATTAGCTAAACGCAAAACCAAGGATAAAAAGGCAGCAGCACTCGCTGTAGCTGCCGCAGTCTTAGAAGGAAATGCAGGTTCTATCGTTAATCCAATGGATCCACCAATTATCAAGGATCAATTGCTGTTTCCGTTTTTTCCTATGGCACAAATCGAGCTCGAGGCAAATGCTTCGAAGTTTGCTGTATTCTCTGCTATACGATCAATTGTGCTTGAAGTGGAAACCAAGTACGCACTATTCCAAGATGTTAATTTTATGAAAAAATTACCAAACATAATGTCATCATGCTGCCTTTTATGTGCCAGTACATGCCTGATAAGTAATTTGGTGGATTGCTCTTGTCACTCGGTAAACGCAGCATCAGGTGCATTGGAAAAACGTGCTCGTCGTGATTCAGCCAACAGCGATGCGGATACTGATACAGATGACGCCACTGAAAAAGTAATATCAGAAATAGTACGTGTGCCTTTGATAGTTGGTGCAGGCTTACGAAGTCTATTTGAGTTGATATCGGAAGCGCGTCATATACAACCAACATTGTGTACGAAAGCATTAAAAGCATTGTTAGATGTTTTACAAGGACAGCAATTAGAGTCGTTTAAATCGGAGCCTGAGGACCTTATTAACCCTTTGTATGATCTTCTACTTGAGTTGGCTACTATGTCAATATCAACGTCAACAAACGTTATTGAATCCAATTGGTCAGCAATGGCTTGTGCTGCTTTAATTGGGCTTTGCATTGCGCGAGGAGACACCGGTAAAATTTTAAAAGCTATCGCTGCAATGTTGATGTCACCCAAGCAGCTATCCGCGCAAATAATACAATTGCCAGCAGTGTTGTCAGCGCTGCAGCGGACAGTGGTGTGTGCTGCTCTTAATAAACCCACTAGACCTGACTTTCATATTCAAGGAGTACCGCATAATTCGCTTATCGATGAGGTATATATATACAATTTTTAAATGATCTATTATAACATTTTAATATGTTTAATATTACAGTTTATACTGGAAAGCTCCACTGGAGCTTTGGGATCGATTTTTACACAACCAACTATGGCTTCAGATGGAACTTATATTTATTTATTGTTAGGCAGTTGTTTACTTAAAATAGGAACAGGCTTTAGCGGGTCCTATAAGGGATATATTTATGCCAAGAATAAAGACTTTACAAAAGAAAAATGTGGCTGGTTGGGATTTTTTGGTGGTAATCTGTACTTTCGCCGGAGTTCAAAACGGAACGTTGATCCTTTACACTTAGTCAATACTGAGACACTTTGTATAAAAGGCAAAAATCTGTTAAACACCATACCTATACGCGAAGGATATAATTATGTGCTTTTTACTGATGATGACTCCCTCAATGCTATCTGCACAAATCGTGATGTAAGTAAAATATTTTTTAATTCATAATTCATAATTATTAAGTAATTATTAAGCATAATTATTTAGCAGTTAACATTTAATTTTTTTATTATTCCAGGATACACTTGTTGTGAAAAAGCTTAACATTTGTCATAATAATTATGGACATGATACGCTTCCGTTTGAGTTGCCATTGAAATTAGCCCGAAAAAAATTTCGTACGCTTGGCTATGCAGCCTTCGAGGATGAAGTTTTAAATCAAAACCAAATACTAAAAATTCAATCCTCATTTAATGTATTCGAACCAAAGTTACCGCTTGATGTTGAGGCTCAAGGTATAGCTTGTGGAAAGGAATTTGGTATAGTTCGTGCATCCAACAATAAGATCTACTACTACGGAAAAGCATCAGCTTTGGGCTTAAAGTCTGTTGGGCGCACACCAACTATGAAGATGACAGAACTAATAATATCCAAAGTATCCAATATTGAGCAGGTAGCTGTTGGTCATGATGGCATACATGCGTTATTGGTTAATGATGATGGTACTGTATATTTTGCAGGTAATTCAGTTGGAACCATTTATTTTGAATAATTGGTATAAAGTGAAAGTTATTTTATTCAAGGAACTGCACGTAGAGGAGAAGATGGCGATTCTTCCAAAAATCGTCGGCAACCAAAAGCAGTGAAACCTAAGAAAATGTCTAAAATTGATGGACACGTGATCGTACAAGCAGCTTGTAATAACGGCACGTCTGCTTTTGTGACTAAAACAGGAAAACTCATCATGTTTGGCAAGGACACTGCACACTGTGACACTGTTGGCTTTGTTACCGATTTTATAGATCAACAGATAACAAAAGTTGCGCTAGGAAAAGCGCATTGCGTTGCGCTTAATTCGAAAGGACAAATTTTCACATTCGGTTTAAATAACAAAGGACAATGTGGACGTGTTTTTCTCAAATCGAAAGAAGCTAGCACCAATTTAGTTTCTGGTACTAATGTTGTAAATGACAGCAAGGCCCTAAATATTTGCAAAAAACTAAAGTTTGATTTTTCGTGCCTGTGCGACTATGATGATCATAGTTTGGTGCAAGGACAATGTCGGGTATGTGTGCTTTGCCGCGAATGTACAGGGTACAATGTTTCATGTGTATCGGCCTTGAATGTACCGATTGATGAACGTCTAGCTGGAGCGTAAGTATATATACAATTGCATTTATTTCTATATAACTTGGTAAACATTTTAGAATTTGTCCTTGTGGACACGGTGATGCCGGTTGCTCCAAATGTGGTATATGCTCAGTATGCATATCTGTACAAGAAGTTGAAAATGGTAAGTTAGACATTATGTCTTTGAGGATATGTCTTTGAAATGTCAAAATATTTTTCTGCAGCTGATATTAAGGACTCAAAGGTATCCCAAAGTGAACTGAACCGTCAACGTTCAAAAAGTCTTATTATGCGTCGTAAGGAGAAAAAATTAAATGAAGATAATAATGCTTCAACTGAACTGGATAAAGATCCTCCTCGTGTCGCACCTCTAGCGCCACAGATGTTAATCTTACCTACTAACTCACCGGTGGTGCAAATATCATGCGGTTTACATCATACAGTAGTGCTTACTCTCGCCGGTGAAGTTTTCACGTTCGGAAGCAATCAGTACGGACAGCTTGGTACTGGTGATCTTCAACCCATAGGCGGTCCTGTGAAAGTAAATTTACAGGGTGCAATAAGTCAAGTAGCTGCTGGTAGCAATCATACGGTTTTACTTACATACAAAGGTATGGTTTACACATTTGGTCAATATACGAAAGGTCAGTTGGGCAGATTACCAAATGATTACCAACATAAATCTATAAACGATGATGTGTTTTCATCTAAATCGGGGGACCAAAATAATGGCGTTTTATCTAAAGACTCGGCTATAAGCAATCTGTTAGCGCAACGACAAAAGTTTATGTGGCACTGTATACCGGCACTTGTTTTGTAATTACGCCTTCCTAAATTCCTTAAAATGAGTTTTAAATAATTATCATTTGAATTTTTTAGTGGTCTAGGACCAAGTTATGGAAAGAAAGCTACCTGGATTGCTGCCAGTGGAGATCAAACGTTTATTAAAATTGATGAATCACTTATAACTACACAAATGTTGCCTAAAGTAAATGTTGTCGCAAATAAAAAAACAATATGTATGAATATGATTTGTTATTTTTTATCAATAACAATTTTAATTATTTATTTCTATCTCTCTGCAGTGCTCATACCTACAATTCCTTTGACGTTCCACACACTTTCAATTAATAGACGTGACGGTACTTGTACTGCACATTATCGCAATCAAGTGAACTTTGTGCAGGTTATACAAAGCAACAAGTTGGTTTCTTTTCCTGAAATCAACCAAAATTTCACAGGTGCTCCTTCTCCTATTGGTGCTGGCATACCCTCGGCAGGACCTATTAATGAACAAATGTCACGTAGTATGCATGAAGCACGCAATCAAATCTTTGATCTGCAAGAAAATCAGTATTACAACGATCAGCAACGAAGAAGACAACGTCGGCAGGAACATTTAAAGAGTCCTGCAGATGGTAGTAGTGGCAGTGGTGGCACCATAGAAAAACCCCAACCACAGATTGCTTTTGCCCTGGATCCTTACTATAATGTGTTGTGGGTATATGATGGCGGAGCTAAGAAGGTGCAGTGCTATAATGTATTAGCCAGTGAAATATCAAAGAATGGAATCGTAGGTTATTATAATTATAATTAGAACGTTAATAAAAAGTTTGGTTTCAGAATTTTTCAAATTATCGGGCAATATTATCTCCTGAATTGGCTTTGCCAAATAAGGTAAATGCACGCGTTTCTCGGTCACAAGCTTCGCTTAATTTGTTATCCTGTTTAGATGTTCTTACTTCGGCACAAGATGCTATGTAAGTTATCTGTTTATACCTGCATAATATCACTTGCGACGTAATACTTTTATATTTGCAGTCCAAATTGCTTCGAAGAGTCTGTTCCTAAGCAGCAAAATCTTATAAAGGAAGCACAGAATAACGAATATCAGATTGTGAATAGATTTGAGAACTTCGGGGGCGGTTGGGGATATTCTGGTCATAGCGTTGAAGCCATACGTTTTTCAGCTGATACCGATATTATGATTTGCGGATTTGGTATGTATGGTGGCCGTGGTGAATACACGTGTAAACTTAAACTGTTTGACTTGGGTGTTGACGGTGGGGGATATGAAAAAGAAGGGCTAATGATAAGCGAAACAAAAGAAGTACCATTTGAGTGTGCTGCACGGAGCAAACATCACATTATGTTACCAAAATCTATCAACGTTTCAGCAGGGCGTTGGTACCTAGTCTGCGCGCGTATTGCAGGCCCATCATCTGATTGTGGTTCATGTGGACAAGCTGCAGTCACAACTGAAGACCAAGTTGTCTTCTCATTTAAATCTTCGAAAAAAGCTAATAACGGTACAGATGTTAATTCTGGTCAAATACCATCAATACTATACCGTTTGATAACGCAAGAAACTAAGCAACCACCGACTTCAATTGATATTGATCCAGTACAAAAGATCTCTAAAGCTTTTGCAAATAGTGTAACCAAAGAATGTTTCGAAAGCCTCGTATTACTCCTTAAGTGGTCTTGGGAAACTTTTAAAACGAATTTACGTGAACAACGTGACAAGGCTCGCTATTTACAAGTAAAACAGTCACTAGAATATCTCATTTATGTCAACAAATCCTGCTTGAGGTTGTTGCGTAAATACACAAATGAAATCTATCCACAATGTTCTGGATCAAGCAGTGCAGCTGTCAATAATATCGCCATTGCACTTAGCAAGCTGCAGTCAAAGTCTGGTAAAAGCAATGAAGGAAAAGGTAAAAGTTTTGGTTTGTTATTCCAACAGTAAATTTAAATTTAAATATTTGTTATTATTCTTCATTCTAAGATTCGAAAAGTTCAAAGTCAGTAACCAGCGCTGCATCCACAGTAATTGCTAATAACGTTGCCAAATATTTTGGAGAAACTTCTGCTTCAGCAACAATTAGTTCCCAAGCCACTCATAAACCTAATATGGAGAACATACAACTGGCAGAATGCATAGGACATGTTCGCGCGTTACTTATAGCTATTTTTTGTGATGATATTTTTAAAGACATTTCCAGTGATGAGGGTATTTTTCAAGATATGAATTATTTTTTAAGTTAATTAAAATTAACATAAACCAAATTTGAGAAATAGGTCTTGCCATGGTTTTGGAAATTTTAGAGGAGTGTCACATTAGTTTTGTGGCTTGTTTTGATGCATTCTACCCAACTTCGTCATTGAAATGGAACTGTCTATGTGGACTGTTATCCCAAATGGATAAAGTATGTATTTCCAGTTTAAATTCTTCGAATGATTAATTTTTTTCTATAATTTTAACAGCAAGAGACGTTGCATTCTCGTTTATTAAGTGCGATTCTTGCTGGCTTGTGTTCCCCATCTGTAAAGCTGCGTTCTACGTTCTCACTGCTAAATGGTGGCAATGAGCGTCAATCAATAATAAGTCCGAGCGATAATTCAGGATTACCTATGCTTTCTTCAACAGAAGCTCATCAGTATCCCATTTTAGTTGAACAAATGATTTATCGTACACAACAGGAAAAGAGTGATTTTTTCAGTAACTCCTGGACATTTAAAGACGTGCTTGTTCGGCTTTTGGATATTATATCAAATCCTATACGAAACAAAATTGAAAGTATATACAGTCGGAATGTGAATTTGAATAGCATTGGAGTGATAAATAGTAAATTAATAAATCAGGGTCTTGTTGATAATTGCTGTCATTTATTAGCGCGTGTATTAGCCGAGATTGTATATCAAACCTCAATGTATGATGTAAGTTGGTGTTTGCTTTATATATCATTTTTTATATGGAATAGTAATTTATTTTTATGTAGTACGATAAAATGTTCCTGCCGCCGCGATGCTTGCATTCCACTGGCACACGGTTTGCACGCATGGAAAGCATGAGAACTTGGGCAACAGCTAATTTTGGACCTGAAGCAATAGCATTTTCAGTTGACCGATCAGGCATTGCTGTTGCGGGTGCATTGGTTTATTCTGGTTCAGGTAGTTATGATTACCAACTTGAACTTTTATATGATAACACAGTTGACCTGCAATCACAACATAAGTGGGAAACTTTAGAATCTGTTTCTGGATCTTTCGATCAAGAAGCGGTTCACAATGATATGGCGGAGATAAAATTTGAGCGACCTGTGCACGTGAAGGTTTGTTGACTAGACTAAATATAAACAAATAATCTTTTAAATTGTTTTTAGGAAAACGCACGTTATGCACTTCGTCTCTGCTTTCAAGGTGCACGCACATGTTCCGGGGATGAGGGAATGCCTTCAATACGTGGACCATGCGGCACTACATTTAATTTTTATACTTGCGATTTAAGCTTTAATGGTACAACTTTGCAACGTGGTCAGATACCTTGCCTTTTGTACTATAGTACACCATTGAAAAGTGATGCACCCAGTGGATCCAATACTGATTTTTGCAATGATGTGATCACACGAGACACTGCTTTGCAAATTGCTTCAGACATAACAAAAAAATGTACCGATTTACTTATCTTGGCACGCAACTATTTGGCTGCTTCAATATCTCCTTCAGATAATTCATCAAATCATACACAAACCATAGATTCGGAACATAATATTACGCCCATAGAAGAACACATGGATATTAATTGGGCAAACAACTCCAGAACTTCAGCTATACCGGTTGATCCCAATATATCAACTGCAAGGGATATAACGAAACGTATTGAATCATTCTCGAAAGGCATTATGGAAACCTTGAAGTTCGATAAACGCTCCACAAACCCATTTGAAATGGAAATTGAAATTGGCGCTACTGAAATTCATCCAAAGGATCTAATGATCGAAGAAAGTCCTGGTGTGCAAGATTTAAATTTCCGCAATGGTGAAATAGCTAAACTAAACGGCAATGAACGTGATGAGGATGAAGTAGCAGAAGACTTTGTTAATGCACAGCATTATCAGGGATTGATGTGCAGGTCAAACTCTGAAGAGATACCAGCACACTTAACTGTAGCACAGATGCTCGAAGTTTTTAACATGACATCATCAAGTATGTTTCATACACTTCTACCACTTGTTTATGCCCACATTGCTAATTTAGCTAACAGAGATCCAAAGGTAAAAAAAATATGTGCATTTATAGTATTTAAACTAAATAAATTTTTTCTCTTCACAGAGTTCTGTACAAATACTCGGCTTAATTAAGGAAATATTGCCACATATATCTGCGTTAAATCAATTATTCGTATCTAAAGAACAAGTGAATCCAGCAATCGGTACAGTGGCGCAGCGCATACGTAATGCAGCTGCAATAGTTATTGCATCTGAAAATAAGGAATTAGAACTACGTAAAAAGCCTGAGTTAGAGTTAAATCAACAGATTGGCGAAAAATTGGGAATGGATTCTAATACGACTAGTAACCACTATTGCGTTGTGGAAAGTGAGCATCCTTATCGCAGTGCTACCATTAATTGTTATCGTGTTGAGTTTCCACCTTGTGTTCAGTGGCTAACAATCGAATTCGATTCACAATGCGGCACTGCTCAATTGGAAGATTACTTGTTGCTGTCGATACCAATGCGATCGACTACCACTGAACCCTGTCAAAGTAATGAAGAATACTTTGATATGTTAGATAATAACATGTCGTTACGCCGAACTGTTGAATCTAAAAATGCAGCTCTTATAACGAGTTGTTACAAAAATAGTGGCACCAATTTGAAAGAATCAACTGAAAATTCGGACAAAGATTGGATAGTAGTTAAAAAATTTAATACGTTAGTTTTAAATTTTATTATAGTCATATTATTTTATGTACTACTATTTATATACGCATAATATATATACATTTATAAATTGAAAAATTAATTTTGTTTGTATTTCTTTTTCAGTGCTGCAAATTGGATACAAAGTGTTATCGTTTTGCCGGGAAATTGTGTGGAGTTTTCTTTAGAAACTTCATCTTTATACGCACAGGATCCACATATTAATCGCTATGGTTTTAAGTGTCTTGTGGTTGGTTATGATAATCCTATTTCTGTAAGTATTATCGCAGTTTATCGAAATGCTTTTGAAGAAATTTAAAGACAATCAATTATACAAGGTAAATACTACTAACTCTTGCTTAATTCGTTTGGAACAAGAGCTTGCTTATTTAGGAGGTATGTGTACTGCTAATTTGATGAAGAAAGAACTAAGTTTACCAGGTAAGTGTTCTAGAAAGAAAGAATACTTTTTGTATTCAGCCTTTTTTTTTGTTATACAGATGACAAGGATAACGCTGATCACGTTAGTATAGAAGAAACATTAAATGCACATCAAACACTACTTTCGAAAGGATTTGCACTATCGGAACCGGTCTTGACTATACATCAAGCCTTGGAATCTTCATTGCCAATAGGGTAAGTGGAAATAAATATCAAGTAAATATTTATACTTATCGGACATACTTAAAAATAGTTAAGTGGAAAAGTATAAATGAGTTAATTTAAACAAAAGTTTTAAATTAGTTAAATTAAACATTTAGATATGCTATTTTATTAAATAACATAATTATATTGTCTAAGCTGTGTTATGCTCATTTATAAGTATTTTCTATAATTATCTTAAATGACTTAAAGACAATAACTAAGCTGAACGGATGTAACTATTTAATTGATCTCAATATTAGTGGCAGCTTAATTCGCAAAAAAGACGTCGCTCACTTACAACGTAAAAAGCGGACTTACTGTGAGATTATATTGATATTAATCAATGTTTTTAATATAATACATTATATATTTATTAAATATGTAGATTGTATTTTTTGTATTTTTGTCTGAGTATTCTTACAACTCTAATTTATTATCAATATTTATTACAACTATAGATTTTATATTTTATATACATATTATACAATTAAATTACTAACTTAAATTTGGTAGAGCAGTTTAAACGGTTCAATTCATAGTACTCAGAAATAATAGCTTTTCGTAAGACGTAAGCACATAAGTATATAAAATAACTATTCATATTACCTAATTAGTTCTCTGCGCTTGCTTTATTAGTTTGGTTTAAAAATTAAACTCTTACAAATCAGTCTTAAGAAGGCCAGCATTTTCAATTTGGTATACAATTTGTGTTTCCTTATAGGTGCGTGGCTCTGGTATGACCACATCTAATTTCCTTCGTCTACGCTTCTTAACGAAATATATCCAAACACTGATTGCTATGATGAGAAGTAATAAAACTGAACCTACAATACCTAAAACTTTATATAATAAATAAGAGCGCTGCTGGCAGTCCTTCTCGATTATTTTGCCTAAGACTACAAAACTTTGGTTATAATTATTGGCATCATGTGAAGTGTTAAAACCCATTTTGTAAAAGAAAATATTGTCAATATTTGACAGAAAGAATTGATTTCTAGGCTTTGGCGGCTTCTGCGTTATATCCAAGTCCTTGCAATCGAACTCGTTCTCATAGCGCAGTTGCTTTATATTAACTGCAAATGCTTCGGTAAACTCGAGAGCACGTGGCTGCTCATATGGTGATATGATAGTGTTGTTTGCTAGACGGAGTTCAAGACTTTCACTCGACATATAATCTCGATGAACTCTTATACCTGAATAGTGAGTTAAGTCGCATAAATTAAGCAATAACAGTTAATTTTCTTTATTTCTACCTTTGAATGCAATTACGCTAGTTCGGCCAAAGTAGTTTTCCCTGACAATGACATTATCACGCACATAAGCCTCGATCCATTCTCCATCAACAGCTTCAAAGTAATTATTTGTTATTATCAATTTAGAGATCACTGCAAAAAAAATTGAAGTTTTAAATGATTCCGAGAGCTATTATTTACAACTGCTCACTTACTTTTAAAGGAAAAAGCTCGCGTATGAACTTCTCTAAATTTTACGTTGTGAATGTGAAGTGAGTTTAGTATTTCCAATTCGTAAAACGCTTTTGATGGCACATTTTGTTCGAATACGCAATTTGTGATTTCCATTTGCTCAACTGCAAATTTCTTAAAAGCCTAAAAACAGAAGATTTAAAGTTTTCCACTGTCAAATGTTTATTAAAATTAAAAAGCTACACTTACTTGGGGTTCAATTTTCTTCACAAGCACATTTTCCATTTTTAAAATTATGGCACGATCCTTGAGCGTTGTAAAACCAAATGGATTTATAACACCAATGCGTCCACCAATAAAGGATATTTCTTCAATATTGCCATTTATCGCATGCGAATCTATTAATTCGAAATTCACCTGTAAGTTTTAATGAATTATTAAACATAAAATAAAGATGTCAAGATTGGGGACAAAGTGTCTTGATAAGCTAAATACCAGAGGTATTCAAAACATTTAAGTATGGAATATGGGTTTACGTTAAATCGTAGAAATATTTACAAGAAAAGAGCAACCTTACTGTTATAGGTAGAGAGCTATTTTGCGGCTTAGCAAAGGTTAATTTATTTTCATTTAATCAGAAATAAGAAACATAAAAGGTTATACTCTGCCTTGCTCATCAAAACCTACATGAACAGAAATATTGGCCTGTTCTGATACCACGGACATTTAATCTAAGTCGCTTAAAAATTGTATGACTTTAGGAATACATAATTTAAGAATATATATGCAAATATTGACCTAGCATTGTTGACCAAATCATCATCTATGCATAAAAATTTTCACAACTAAATTCATCGTTTAGGTAGAAATGCCCTATATTTATCATTGAATATACCTGATAAATTTTTAGTATTTATAATTGTGATTGACGTTAAACATTCGAAATACAATCGATTGATATAGCTTCGAACGTAATTAAATATATTACCACTAGTTCAAGGATTGCTATCAAGAAATTATAACCACTGTGTAAGTCATTTTCGAATGTGAGGCCGTCCACAATTCTGTAGACGGTGAACAATATAAGAAATAAAATTTCCCATTCTGATATTAACATTAAATTAACATATAAACATACGTTAACATATAAAGCATATTTTGTTAACGTAAAAATCATTATGACAGTCTACTGACAATAAAGCGGATATTACAAACAGCCTCTATTAAATTTTCACTCTTCACTTATCGATGTTTTAAATATAATTGTCGTACGTTTATGATACGACATGTAGAGCATTTATGTTATAACAGAAACCGCTGCGTTTCATAATAATTTTCAAACTTGCTTACCTTTTCGAATTCTACTATTAACGGCGTATTGCTTGCATAACGAGGAAAAGCAAGAGCAAATTTTTTTAATGTTAAGTTGTCGATGTCCTTAAATTTGATTTTCCGCAGCCCTTGTGTATCCTCCAGAGCATTGGCATTAACAGTTAACGAATTGCAGTTACTGACTTCTACCTGATAAGCATATCCAATTAGATGGGGCAGCTGCATAGACTGTAAAATTAAAATTACGTAAAATGATGTTTAAAATTGATAATACGAGTAAAACGATATGTATCTATATAAGTTAAGAACTACAAACGAATATTTTCCAAATTACTCATATTTTTGTGACACAATAATTAAACATTTAATGATTCATAAGTATTGTTAACAGTATTAAAATGTTGTTATAGCAATCCATTCATCTGATATTATATATATCTGATATATAATTCTAAGAAATTACCTGTCTGGAATTTTTGCAGTTGCAAGAAAACTTAGTTTCATGGAAATCACAAGTTACATTTTGCAGTTGTCCGTCATTAATGTTGTTTCCATTGTAGTCACGGCGAGTTCGTTTTCCAAGCAAATTCGCTTGTATTTCACTACCTGCACCCAAAACGCTGATGCAAAATATAAACAACAATGTCTGTCGACCAATCCACGTTGGATCTTTAAGATTTTTTATATTTCGCATTTTTTTTTTTAACTCATGTGATTTATCTCATTCTAACATTTGTTCCGTGCTAATTGTGTTTAACTTCTATGCAAAATTCATACCGTCAAGCTTTGAGCCTTTCCAATAACTGATAGCATTCATTATATTATTTGAGCCTTTCCAATAACTGATAGCATAGTATCTATAGTATCTTTATCTACAGAGCATTGCTGATAAAAGTTCTAACTCTGCAATTAAAGGTGGTCTTTGTTAGTATTTTCAGAATTCATAACTTTTTAAAGTAATGATTGTTGAACTTACTTGTAAATGTATTTGTGAATTGAGCTCATTTGTTTAAGATAACTTATCAGTTTCAATGAACGAGTGGGAAGTGATAAGTACATACATTCAAAATCTTTTATCTATTGAAAGTTTTTTGTCACGCCAATGACAAATTTGTATATCAAATTACTAAATTTTATAAATATAAAAATAAATAAAGATACTTTATGAAACAAAAGTGTAAATAAACAATTCAACTCATGCTATAACAGATACAGATTCTAATAGATACAGATTGCCTATTAAAAAATGCAATAATTATTATAATTACACCATAATTAATTAAAGTAAATAAGTCATATATTAAAAAGGGAACTCTGCATGTAGATGAATGGCAGTACTTAATTCTATTATTGACAAAAACGAATTAAATCACTTTATTTTGCTCGCACATATTTTCAGTTATTAAATATATATGTCAATATAAATAAACATATATATTAATATAAACAAAGGGCAAAGATTCAGCTAACAGCATCAAACAAGTGAAAAACACAATATCAAATAAAGAGATGCTAAGAACACGAAATACAGATGAGGAAATGTTTGTTAAAAAGCTATAATCAACTCTATAATCATTTTCACGGTACTTTTAATTTAAATTGTTTTAAAACACTTTCTTACTGAAAACATATTTTCATTATTTTCATGCAGTACAACATAGTATTCACTAATTATATTTTTCAATTTGACAATATTTACAAAATACTATATTGATGAACACAAAATTTTTTTCTGAACAGTTTGTTAAGAATATATAATGCTCTGCAACTGCTTTTGACTAGCTTAAGGAGAAATAATAACAGCTTACGGCTTGGAACAGTAACAGTGACGCTAAGTCTATTGTGAATGTTCACTGAAAATATGTTGCAAAAATCCAGTCATCCGTTAAAATAATAATATGAGCATTTCATTTACTTATAAGTTCAAATACATAAATAAATAAATAAATTTAAATAAACAAGATAAAAATGCTAACCATTGCCTTTCAAATATTCATTTTATTTTCTTATATTTAAATTAATTAATTTTAAGTCTACAATTTTTATATTTCATATTGTAGACAACACAACAAAAAACATACATACCTTATGATCAAAAAAGAATGAGAATTTAAAAAAAAAACGCAAAATTTTAATTTTTAATAATTTTTCCATACAAGTTTTATAGGCCGCCGAAGGTATGACCTTTAGTTCACGCAGCGAATTCTCTTTTATGACCTCTATGGTCCTCGCAAAGGCAATTTGAGTCGGGGGAAGAGGAAAAAGTCACACGGGGCCATATCTGGAGAGTACGGTGCTTGGTTGATGGCTCACAACGCTGTGTGAGCCGGTGCGTTATCGTGGTGTAAAATCCATGAGTTTTCCTTCCATAAATCTGGCCTATTTTTGCGAATGGCCTCACGCAAACGACGCATAACGGCCAAATAATACTCCTTATTGACCGTTTGACCATTTGACCGTCCGGAAAGAATTCATAGTGACACATAGTGCACATCACGAATAACGAAAAAAACAGTCAGCATAACCTTGATTTTGGACCGACTTTGGCGTTCTCTTTTCGGTTTCGGCTCACCTTCGAAGCACCATTCGGTCGATTGTTGTTTGGTGGGCGTGTCAAATTCATAGACCCATGTCTCATCACCAGTTATGATGCATGTGGGGTCACTATATGTGTTGGAAATCATCTCTTTGGCCACATCACAACGACGCTTTTTTTGAATGAAATTCAGCTTTTTTTGCCACCAGCCGAGAAGCGACGCGTTTCAAACCCAAAACATCAATTAAAATGTGTTCGGCCGATCTATATGAAATGCCAAACTGTTGTTGGGCATCTCTCTCTTGAGCAATCTCTCTAATCGGTTCACAACGATTTTCCAACACGATCTGCTTCGCCGATTCAATGTTTTCTTTAGTAACAGATGTTGTTGGATAAGCGCGGGAATTCAAAAATTAAAATTCGCGATGTTTTTTGATCACAAGGTATGTATGTCAAAAACGAGCACTTGAAATATGTATTTTAAAAGTGAATCTATTTTGTTTCAACTAGACTTAATACTATTTTTTTACAACTCTGAAAGAAAAAATAATCGGTTATTATTAGTCGATAAACAAAAGACATTATAATAATATAAAAATATATTATAATATAACATCGAAAAGAAGTATTAGTGCTATTATTTGTATTGCATTATGTATTTACTAAAAAATTCTTATATCCAGAAGTTTTTGTGTATAATAATAAAATTATAAGCATTTTTTTTATACTAAGATAAAAATAATAAAGGGCGTGAACTTCAAATTAATATTTTTATTTCATATAAATATTTGTTATTGTAAATACTTGTTATGATGATTATATTTAATTAAATTCTGCCCACAGTTATAAATTGCATTAATTACTTCTTAAATCCAAAAGAATTTGAAAGTTTTTCTAAGTGTAAAGCCACTTGCGGAAAGTCTTTGATGGCTTTTTCACTTTTTAGCTCGATCGTACGTTGACGCATACTCGTACTGCACTAATTTCATTTCCCTTTAATAGTCGTAAATCACAACTTGAGCATCGCAATGATAGCTATAATAATCACAGTGACTTCAGTTATGATTACTTTCAAAGGGTAAAATTTCGATTTATTAGCGCAAGTAGCGGAAAGTCAAATTGACAATTCAAATTCCACACCGAACGATCATCGAAATACAGCTTTTTTCAGCAACGTCTAAGCACTTAAGTAACTGACATCTATTGTTTTTGTTAAGAAAGAGTTAAATATTAAATAAGAAAATATTCCATTTACATACATTCGAATGTGTAATCACAAAATCAATATTTGCTGAACTATTATAACAGAATTCGTAATCGAATTTGGTTATTTAAGTTTGGAGCGTTGTCGTCGAATTTGTAAGTAAAAAAAATTTACAAATTTTTTGTGTGGAAAATTCAACACATGAAAGCGGAAAGCAATATGACACAATCATAAGTGATCTTCAATATCAGTAAAATTAAAATTATTAAGCAAATAAGTGAAACTACAATCACAGCAGGCAGAATGTCGCGCCCAGTAACAACCTTCAAATTCAATTAACTTCAATTACCGAACTGATTTTGCTATGAACTTCAGACGAAACTTTTAAATCAAAGCTACTAAATTAAGTGATTTAGATAATATCAAATGCGATAAATAATAATTGAAGTTTTACTTATTCTCATTTATACATGAAAGTTCTTAAACAAAGACAAACGTACGTTAATTAATAAATCTGGTTGTATTTATACTAAATTCACTACTGTCACATATAACATTTCAATAAATACACTAGAGACGTGCAACTATAGTAGATAGAACAGAAGACATTCAGTTCTCTAAATATCTCTTGTTAAGGTTTTTCATATATCAAAAGGGAATGCGAATTCGTAGTCGAGGATTTTGCTCTTAGTCCACTTTTAAACTAGACTATGACTATTATGACTACAAGTCTTATTTCCTTTCATGTAAAGAGACAACATACTGTCATCTCAGGCAGAAACATCATGTTGAAAAATTCGTTAAGTTACCTGGTAGAAATCTTAGGTTTTCTTCTCTATTGAAGAAAAGGTCTCTTTGATGTCAAAAGTACGAACTGGGTTGGCGGTTACAACGAACACTTAAAAAAACTCATAGAGAATTCAATGAATAGGAATCTATATATTAATAATTATTTTTAAAATTTCAGTCTATATATTAATAAGTTGGTGTCATTCATAATATCAGGAATATAAAGAATTTGGTAATATACAATAAATATAAATTTCGTAATTATTGTAGATCTATGGAGTCTTCATCTGGTATATGTGCTTGATTATGAAATAAAATATTTATTTAAAACTTATTTATAATATTATTAAGATTTTGTTATGGATTTCTCGATAAACTACAACAATAATAGTTATAAATCTACTTTCAGTAAGCCTCGAACTTCAACATTTTCCAGCATTATCAATAAAATGGTAACTTGTTTTTGCCCAATATCAAATATCAAATGGTTCATTTATTTTTAATTTAAAAAAAAATTAATTTAATTTATTTGAGACTTATTTAAGTCATTACGGATTTCAAGTTTTTTCCAACAAACGTTTTAATTGCGTTCACTCTTAAGAAATTAGATCATTTATAAATCACAGACCGTCTCTACGATCATTGACACAAGAGTTTGATGTTTTTATTTTTTTAGCTGAGAAATTTATTGAAATTCACTGACTACAAGATCTACATTATTTCAAATATCTTTCACTCTATGCTTTCGTACACCTTACATTCCGCCCGTTTTTTGTTTTTCGCCCCATGATCGCACTTGACCTTCAATATTAAAATTAGCGTTCTGTAAGCACGTGGGTTTGTGCTTTGAAATACGACAAAATATGACAGAATTGTGGTTTATATTGGATTCTAGTGTCTCTAAAAGCTTCAAATTTACAAAATGCAAAATGTGCAAAACTTTATTTTTTTCTTTTTTTGCCTTCGCTAAGTTAGAGCAACTGAGGAGACAGAAAGGAAAATTGTAAGTCTCATTAAATTTTTTAATTTTTTCAATTTTTATTCAACAATTTGTTTTATTTAACGAACTCTTTATTATATGTCGTCGATACCATAGATACGATACAACAATATATCAGGTAGAGCTCTGATATATAAGATTCTTACCTGGAAAAATACAGTTTACTGAAATAAATGCTGGAGGCAAAATTAGAGGAAAACGCTATGCTAAAGAACCATATTGAGCATTTCAAGAGACATGGAAGAATAGAGTCTGCTGCAATAATAGCTGCACGGAAAATTTTAGAAAAACTAAGTCCTAAAAGGAAAAGAATATCGATCGCTTTATAGGATCTCTAGAAAAACGAAGTTTTTTGAAGTAATTGTTTGGGATAAAGTTAAGGGATGATGCGGTTCTAGGAGTAATAACAATTACTCCATTTGTAGAATGTGAATAGAAATATAATGTTTCGAGATTTAGACGAGGTGAACTCTGCAATGACATTGGCTGACTTTTGAAGCGGATTGTACTTTGAATAAGAAAAAAGAGACATTAAAACATTATGATAAGTAATCGCGAATGGCAGCGTTGAAATTTTCTTGAAAGAAAATTATATCGCGGCTTAATAATTTATGACTTTGCTACAATAAAAATAGAAATCAACTTTTCAATTATTAGTTATTATTAGACGGGTAGATCTTTGAACCTTTCAAATTTTTAACGGTTCTAATGTTTTATTTTAAAAGCATAAAATGTAAATTTTTGATACTGAATTAGCAACAATAAATGATATAAATAAATTGACAATCTCTGATTAAATAATCAATTTAAGCTCTTAAATGCTATAAGTGCAATGAATTGTTTTCGTTATTTTAATAAAAAAAAATCCCATATTTAATCTGAGTTTGTTTATGTAATAACTTGTTTCTTGAAAACAAAAGTATAAAAGAAAAATTAATAAAAAACATTACAAATACTGGAGAGTAAAAAACGAGTGTTCTTTACTCCTAGACAAAAACACATAAAAAAGTGAAACAAAATTTAGTAACAAATTTGCATCTACACGCTTTGTATCTGCAAGATATCACTAATGCAGTAGCACAATTAAGTTTAAACAAATGCGGAAAAGAATTTTACTTATATAGAAAAACTTTTGCTGTTTTTTCAAAATTGTATCTGCAATAGTATGTATCTTTGTTTTGTGTTTTATTTTTGAAATTATGCAAAAATATGCGCCGTCGCTCTCATAACATTGATCGTTTGAAGTTTGCTTATCTGTCGTTGTTTGTATGTTTATCTGTTAGAGCGTTGTTGTTCACTATTTAATTTATTTATTTGTATTTATTTGCAAACTCTTAGTTTTAAACTTAGGTTTTTATACAAATAAGCAATTCATCAAAATATGAATACATTAAGAGCACATAAATTCAAATACCACAGAAGCGTCAGCAATAATTTTAAAATGAAGTACGTCGTTGTTCACACTTCAAACACGTTAAATCGGTAGTAATTTTATACGCAATTTTTAAAATATATCTTTTACAGTCAACTGAAGCCGACCACCAACTAAGAAACTCATCAACCGGCGTCGTTTAAGTCCACGTTGAAACTAATCGTACGATCGTGGCCGCCACAGCGCGCTACACAATTAACAGATTCGAAAAGCTTCTTTCGCTCAGCACACCGATTATATTCGCTCACTGATTCAATTTTATTCCATTTTACACACATCTGAAGTTCGTGCCTGTGGAGATTCTCTTTGTAGAAGATTGAACGGTTTTTCTATCCAAGAAATGTTAACCTTTTCAAGTAGATTCGCAGTCGTTTAAATGCAATTGAGGTTGTGTTCATATTGTTTTCTGTAGACTTGAATGCAAGAGATACTTGAACGGGCAACTGCGATACTCTGGTTTCATTCTGATTTATGCTCTTCAAATTTTCTATGTTTTTGTTCTGTCACAGTTCTTATATTTCTGTTTTGTTTACATAATAACACTGTTTACTTTTGTTTTGTTTATTCGTTCAGTTTTTACATTTGTTGTACTGGTAAGCGTCTGATTTTTTTGATGAGATCAGATACTATAGGCATGATGTGACGTTTGGTGTCATTTTAAACTCAATTATGTGTCTTTATCACTATTTATGATACATATACACAAATGTAGATATAATGTACAGCTCTGTTATCAACTTAAGTGAAATTGAATATTATTAAGTGAATTATCGAATTCTTCAAAATTTATTTAATAAATCACTGTAGTAAAGTTAGAAAAACTGTTAACGCAATAAAACTGTGTGTGTAGATCTAATCCAAATCTTAAAGTGTGTTGTATCATCAATTTTATAAACTGAAAATAAAGATTTAATTTATTAACCATATAGATATCCTACTCCAATAAATTTGTAAACAAACGCAAATCTTATTATATAATTAGCAATCTTACTATTATCACAACAACCACAAATATATATTTTATTAAACATTTAAAATATTATTCTGAATATCTAAAACAACCAAAGTCCCATCATATAACTACTAATAAATTATATATAACTTTATAAATTCACGAATAAATAAAGAAATTTAGATAGTTAATGAATTAGTTAGTTAGTTGTGGTGGAGGGAGGACTTAATTCTCCTCAATTAGCTAAGAAAGCTGTTTTAAATTAACAAATTCTCGTAATAATGCCTAGTAAATAAAGGATTAAACTAGAACCAGAGGCATTTATATAGGCAGAAATCTGGCTAATGCTAAGGCTAGAGATATCGCCGAGTGTGTTAAAGAAGAGGGCCCCCAGAAACTTAAGCCTAGTTCTGGCTAAGCCTGGACATAGACACAGCATGCGTTCTAATGAATTCGTTCAGTTAACAATTTTTAACAATTTCATTTGCACAAAATATTTACTATATTTTTTTTATTATATTTTTTTTTCCAATTTTTTTTTCCAATTTTTTTTAATTGCCAAAAAATCAGCTATTGGCATAGTGAACTAATGTGTGTAGCTTCAACGCAAAGGTTTGTAAAGAAGCTATCTTTGGTGCTATTGTCGGAAAGTTCAGCCTTCATACAAAAACTTCTGACAATGGATGAAGGCTGAAACACGAAACAATTGCGGCTAGAAACATGGTAGTTAGTAGTACCAGATTCCAGCATCTCAACATACCTGAGGCAACATGGCTGTCACCTGTTAAAAACATAAGATCTCAAATTGATCACGTTGTAATAGACGGAAGTCATGCTTCTAAGCACATCGAAATTTAGATGTCGAAAAGCTGCAGTCATAACAGACAGCTAATGACTTCGCTAATGACTTCGCTAATGACAGCTAATGACTCTCCCAGTGTCTGGAAAATGTAGCTGAAGAAACTGATATATGCGCGCAATGGATCCACATCTTCAACTCTATGCGTACCGCTGCAGAAGAGGTGATTGGCTATCACCGTAGACAAAGAAACAGCTGGTACGACCAAGAGTGTTGTGACACTACCGCAGAGAAAGACGCACCATACCAAGCCACCCTGCGGTCCGTTGCAAAGCGCGCTGCTAAAGAACGATATCGGCAAAAGATATCAGGCGAAAAAAGAAGGAAGCAGAAAGACGTGAGTATTACGAGCTTGAAAAACTGGGCGACAGGAATATGGCTCGAAAATTCTACCAAACTAAAAGCCTGACAAATGGTTATAAACCCGCAGTTAATTACTGCAAAGATGAAAATGGTAATCTGGTGATAGATGAGAAACTGGGCGACAGGAAGATGGCTCGAAAATTCTACCAAAGAACTAAATTATTACTGCAAAGATGAAAATGGTATTTAAATGGCTGAGCTATTTAAAGATGGTGGTGAAAAGCTATTAAAAAGTATGCTACAGCTAATTTGCAACATATGGTCAGATAAATGCATGCCGAACGATTGGAATTTATGTATGAAATGCCCACTCTACAAAAAAGGTGGTTATGCAAACTGTGCTAACTATCGCAGGATCACTCTTTTAAATATCGCATATAAGGTTCTGTCAAACGTGCTATGTGAAAGATTGAAGCCAATTGTCAACCAACTGATTAAACCTTATCAGTGTGGCTTCAGACCTGACTAATCCCCCTGGACCAGATATTCAGAGTGCGTCAAATCCTATAGAAGACCCAAGAAAAACAAATCGAACCCACCATCTATTTGTCGATTTTAAAGCTGCTCTTGACACTACGACTAGAAGCACTCTCTACATTATGGCTTTCATTGAAGTTTAGTTTATAAATTCTGATCACAAAGTTAAGTATTCGTGTGATCGATTTGGTATTCACTTCTGCAATTAAGCCGAAGACTCTTAATACTACAAATAAAATAAAGTCAAAAGACTATTGTCCCACTCAGCGATTTTGATGGATTCTCTCCCTTCCAGAGGGAGGATATATATATTCCTAGTGTGTCCTAAAATTTGCCAGCAGAGAAAATCGGTTATTTGATTTGTTACTAATAAATAATATAATCCGCAATGCAGAATGTGGTGACAATAATCACCTTCTGTTCAGTCTATAGAGAAAGTCAGTCGTTTGGTAGCGATAACAGATAATCGTATAGTGTTCAATGATTTTTAGTAAGAATCACTATTTTGGCTTTCTATTTTCGATTTTATTTGACTTAAAATAAAAACTTCTAGCATTGTGAACACGTTGACAGCCAACATAGAAATGGCACAATATTTTTTACGCAGGCACTATCAAAAATTTTGCGGCAGTTAAAAACTTATGTAAAAATCAAATTTAGGTATGTAAATAATATATGATTTTCTGAAATATGAAACGATGAATCATGAAATTGATTATTTAACGATGAAAATTGTTAAATATTAAACAAGATATCTTTTACGTTTATTTGATTATGAATTTGTTTGTCGCATAAAGTGATAAGACAGCATAACTCGTTCGGCAATTAAAATAAATACGAGTAATACATTTTTATTTTACAAGTTAATTGTTCATACTTCTTGTCCGTTTTTGCATGTTTTTGCATGTTTTTGCATTTTTCACATTGAAATTTAGTTAAGAAATTTTAATTAAAATATTTTAAATAAATTTCGTGATATTGAAAGTTGTTAAACTTGAATTTCTACTGTTCTAGCCGGTGACGACATTGGCGCCAATGGCGGACCAAATCATTTATAATAAAACTTTAGATAGTTTTCAATGAGTATAGAAATAAACATGTCTTTAAAGTTATAAATACGGATGATATACGTATACTTAAATGTTAAAAAATAAATGCTAATATATACCATATAGGTATATACCTATTGTATACATAAAAGTAAATATAGAATTCTGATATTTGCATATATGTTTGGAAATTTGCATACACAAGTTACGGTGTGATGCTAATTTTGGTGAACTCATAATAATGATTTATATACACAAATTTTGATGTAAAGTAGAGAATCTAAATAAAAAATTAATAATAAAATAAGAAAACTTTAATTAAATCTGAAATATATTGAATATAAATTACTAATTCTAAGTGTTTGGTGGGGCCTTTGCATACTTTTGCTATTTTAACATCAAAAATGAATTACAAAATGTACCATAGATATGAATATAAACTACATTAATCGCCAAAAGCCAAAAACTTGTTCGTGAGATATATATATATATATTTAAGTTTCATAGATCATTATATTCTGAATCATATCTTGTTAAAAGATAATGACTGTAAACTTCAGCATTCTATTTATCAAATTTTTTGCGTTAATTTTATTCGTAAAAATAAAAGCAAACATAAACGTGTATACCAACTGAAAAAACTACTTCAGCTACTGAGTCAGTTTTAATTTTCTTTAGAGCTCTGGCTTAAATTTTCTGTTAGAATTCACACTCATGAAATTTTTTTATACTACCCGTATGTATACGGATAAGACTTATATTCAAGCAATTTATAAATAACTCAATCAATCGAAAATTCATAGTGAATTACAGTGACTTTTCCGCACATGCCTTCTGCTCAAAAAGTATCCGGATTTTGTTGTTTGTTAACTACTCCTTAAGAAATAGACATTTTTCAAAAATTTTTACTGGAAAATAGTAAATAGTTGTTGTACGCGATTTTTTGACCAAACACGGCTCCACTGTCATCGCTCAGGCACCATATTCGCCAGATCTGGATCCGTGCGACTTTTTCCTGTTCCCGAAACTCAAATTGTCCCTTCGTGGTAAGCGTTTTGAGTCGATTGAATCGGTAGAAGAGAATTCGCTGAAGGAACTAAAAGCCATACCTTCACGGGCCTACGAATATTGTATAGAAGATTGGGTTAAGCGTTGGCATATGTGTATCGCTTCAGAAGGAGCATTTTTTGAGGGAGATAAAATAAATTTGCAATAAAATTTAAATTTGTGTGTTTTATTTACAAAATCCGAGTACTTTTTGAGCAGAAGGTATTAACTATTTTTCAGAAAACAAGTTCAGTACCACCATTCGGCCTTCATTAAACCGAATGAAACCTACGATCTATAATTTTTAAATCTATCTGCAATATTACAAATATTTTTAGATAGTTATAATGACTCTTACTCTGCATTACAGAAGTTGCTGTTGTTGGTGTGAATATATGAATATGAAGCAAATAAATGGATTTCGAATGAGTGAATGTTAAAATCTAAAAGCGAGTTTCATATTTATAATGAATATAAATATTTGTTTGTGTTATGCATTTCTTTCTTGATATTATTCGATCTATCTATATTTTATATATACAGTAGTTTGCTTTTTATGTACATTAAATTCACGAAAATAGCAATTCTTTTTTTTGAATGTAGATATTCATGTGCTGCACTTCCATAATAGCACTTGAAATATAATTGGATTTAAAAAATAAATTCAATTATTAATAAAATATAAGAATATCAAATACTTATAATAAAAAAACATTATGTGATTTTATTTATTATTTTTTATTCACATTCAGTCAAGTCCTTAATATAATCGGTCGATTTTTCGCATTGGCAAATAGATGTATTTACATTTTAAGTTTCTATTCATTGTAAAAAATTATATACATACGGGCGAAGTTTCTGCAATTCTTAAAATTTACTTACTTGACTATTTACTTAAAAGTAAACAAAATGCCATTGAGATATATATTTAGATAAAAATCTTAATTATTTTCAGAAAAAACTCTTTGGCGCATAATATGAATGAATGGCTCAATTTTGGCAATCCAATCAATAATACATTTAACTCTAAACCTAGTTTTATAAATACTTTCATTAAAGTGTTTTTGTTTCCTTAGGAATACATACTGATTTCAATTAAAAGCTTTATTATCACGGTTTATATAAGTTTTGTCATAATTATTACTAATACGGACATGGCTCAGGGGGTAACTATTGGCAAAAGCACTTCGCTTAAAGTGGAGTCAAGGTATTGTTTTATGATAAATGTTGAGGTCATGGATCTCAGCATAACTGCTAAAGACAAATTTTTTTTAATTTTAAAGGTTGCTCCCCTTGCTCACGTTACTGACGACACCCATGTTCACAAAATTCAAAGTCCATAGTGAACTTTGAAGTTAATTACCTAACTTTGAATATAATTTGAAATATAAAATTTATGAACTATTTTTTTATAATAGCTTAAATTAAAAATTTAATTTATAATCATATTATGTATTTATTATTAATTTAATTTATTTGATCATATTTATCAGAACTAATTTAATGCGATAATAAAAATTTTTTGACTGTTGAATTCTGTCGAAACTATAGAATGTTTTATTAAAGACATTATATACATATATAGTATATATATATATATTATATATAAAGATTTATACATGTGCATAGCGATTGTTTTTCGAATGAAATACTTAAAGTTCACAAAAGTTAACAAATTAGATTAAGTTTTTAATAGTAAAGTAATTAAATACAAAATAATTTATAAAATATTTATAAAATAAAAATCACAAGCTTGTTTAATGTGTTGCCCTGCCCACTGACTATCATTTAAAGAAGTTGCTGTCGGTCTAGTCCTTAGACTATTTTCGCATCTATCTATGCGTCTGCATATTCAATAACTTCATCGATTTCTACAGTCTCATTGCTACCACCTGAATGATTAGAACTAGTTTCGGGTGGTAGTCCTGTGGCGCCACGCATATCCATTTCACACTCATCTGTTTCTGGAGAGGCAAGGCGTGGAACTCTTATTTGTTTGTGACTCACATCCGGTGCAGTATACACAGCGGGCGTAAATAAATGCATATTTCGTTGTTGGTGTTGGTGATTTGCAGGATTTAGATTTGGAACTTTGTTTTGGAGATCTTGTGCTAGTTTTTGCACGTTCGTTAAAGGTTTATGGCTTTGATGATTATTTTCTGTTTGGGGTGTTATAGTTGCAGACGTGTTATTGTTATTGTTGTTGTGACTTTGGTAGAGCACATCTGGCAGATTCTGTGTACGTTTTGAGATGGACGGAAGATTTGGCAGTTTTTGATTACGCATAGGCGTAGCATATTGTGGTGAACGATGTGGTGGAGCAGCAACACTTACTGCATATGGAGCTGCTTTTGTTATATCTATAGAAAATAAAATTATTGCAATATTAGAAATTTATTTAATTAAATTCGGTATTGATATTGCACTAGTACAACTTAATATAAAAAGCAGCTAAACTTATTTTAAAGTTACTATATATAATTTTAAATACTTCTTGTTTGTTGTTAATAGTAAGAATTTAAAACTAGAGCTGTAGGTGTTAAATTTTACAATACATTTAATTGTTAGTAAACATGTTATTAGAATATGGTTTTTATTCGTAATAAATCATCTTTGAGAAGTGATACCATCACCATATTTAACAAAATTGTCCGACTTACTTTCTCTGCAATCAGTAAAGAATTTAAAATATATTTTATGACTGATTTTTTTTGTATGTTAATCCTAGTCAGAGTACTTTATTTTCCGTGCACTTTTTGTTAATACTCATAACTTTTGATATATTGTTTGTAAGACACCATTGTTTTGGATTGATCTCTTATTATTCATGTTTTTATTTGCCTTTATTGTTAAGAGACACATAATGTATTGATAAAATTCTTCAGTTTACACTTATTCTAGGAGTTCTCCTTTTTTTTGGTGTGAATACCAGTCCATAGTTCTTCACGCAATGTCATATTCAGGTATGCGGATTGTACGACCAATCCAGTTCTGCCCAGTATTGAATTAATGCGTTTTTATAATGAATTTTAGAGAGTTTTTGGCAGCGAAGTTACTTAACATATGTGTTAGAAGGCAGATTCAGGAACATACTGGAAGTGCTCTTTTTGATATTGCAAACAATTGAGGATGTCGATATTTGTTTATGCTGATGTCACATATTAATATTTTTGCAAACCTTTTCCACGATGCTCATATTGGTGATGCGTCATATAAATCCAGCCCAAAGTAAGTCGGTTCTTTTTACACGCAATCACAACTTTAAATTTTCCTTACTTTGAGGAGGTTTCATTGAAAGTAGTTCGCAAATTATGCCTAAGCTTTTATTTCTTGTTATAATAATTTATTAACCTTTAACATATCTAAGTATTTCGTCTACTTTATTAAAGAATGCATTCTAAGGTTAGTTACATAAATTATTGTTAGTTTACTATCCAAATATAATCAATCAGTAGTGAATAAAAAATAGTTTATAATTTTATTCAGTATTACTAAAAACTAATTTATTATAGCTGTATAGCTAAACTTAACTTTGTGTTATAAGTATATACTTTCTTATTAATCAGCTACTTATTGGACATGCTTTATCTGTTTCTACAACTATGTAAGCAAATTAATGTTTTTATTATTATTTAATATATTTTTTTTCTTTTCTACTACAAAAATATCAAACTACGATTACAAAGAAGATAATTACAAAACGTGGTAAACTATTAAAAATTTTAATAATTAATATTTTTTAAAACAAACGAATTTTGTGCATTAATTTGGTAAAATTTCGAGTTTTTATTTAAAACCAATTTTTGTGTTTTTAGTTAAGCTTAATTTACAACTTAAACCGAAATGAAGATAATTTCAGTGTAATTACTTAATAATTTATATAATTATAATATAATATATACACATATAAACATTTAACATATACTTAAATAGAAATAATCACAAATGTTATTGCAATAATAATAATTTTAAACACTTAATATATAAATAAATATTTGTTTTTCAAATAATCTTAAGATTTCGATAAATCTGCTAACAATTATCTTAATTAGTAACTTTTTCATAAATTTTTATAATATAATATTTTCACAGCCCAGTTGGGTTTTTTAGTTTTTCTCTTCAGTTTAAAGTACGTATTCTAATTATGTTTGGTAAGTTAAATTACCTCGACCATTGTAAGGATCTGAGTATAGATCCATGCCTTCCATATTCTGATGGTGATCGGACGGTGAAGCGTATTCGTTGCGTAACAGTGGTTGTTCAACGCAATTGGGCTCTGCATATATATGTTCGGGCAGTGGTACAGGTTCACCACAAATCTCATTTCGAAGAGCATAACCCTCTACTGGCACTATTGTACTCGAAGTATAGAAACCACCGTCATTACCGGTGAGGCTCGGTTCAGTGTAAACTGGATCAACAGGTGGCGCAGTTGGTTGTGGTGGTTGTAGATGTTGTGTTAATAAATTATTGAAATCAACTATAAGCAAATCTTTATCTGCGTTGCGAACCTCATTTAACAAATTTACAATTTGGCTGATGGCTTTTACACATTTCCTGTGTGGTAAATCACTACGAAGTATTTCTTGTGTGTTTTCCTTAACCTGTTTATAAATTTGTGGATATTTTTTTTGCAGCAACTGCATAGTACGATCAATAATAACTCGATCTTCATTTGAGAACTCATGTACATGTTCATTAGCATATGGTATGAGGCTTGTATTAGTTGATCTGCAAGCGTCTTTTTTTTTTACACATATAACTATTAAGAGTACGGCTAGTACTACAGCGAACAGTACCAATATACCACCAAAAATAGATAAAAATGTTGGGAAATTGGAGTCTTTTTGCTGAAGTTCTTCGGGTGTAAAGAATTTGTCGTTAACTCTGGTAAGGTTTCGATTAGCACCGCAGTCCAAAGTATTTTTTGTGTCGTCGCATACTTCATGCAGATATTTTTGTAAATTGAGAGTAGTTCTATTAAAGCAGAGGCCCAATTTTTTGTCAATAGTGCAATACATTTCCGAATATAAATCGTGTGCGGTAAGTTCGTGCAACCAAGTAGGATTACATCGGCAAGCGATATTCACTGACACTTCATGTATTATGCAATTCGAGTTCATATTCAAGCTACCCGGCAACGGTTGCGTTAGTGAGTTTCCATTAAAGCGACAAGCAGCTGGTTGTTTAGTGGGCTCTAGATTTATCATGCCAAATTCGCCAAATTTATTTTTTTCTATAATAATTTTGGACCATTCTTTCACTCGCAACCAATTATTGCTGAGATGTTTAACGGTGTTATTCGTAATTGTTGCATTAATCGCTGCCACTTGTATTGCGTTTTCATAAATTGTATCAATGCTAATGAAAGGATAATTAATTTTGTATGAAATTTATTTACTAAGTATGTATACAAATGTATGCGATGTTAAAACATTTACCTATTATTGTTAATAATTAGTTCCGATATGCCGGTACCATAAATAGCTTCGCTCTCAATAAAACCAATTACGGCATCAGTAATTGATACATGTTTGCTGAAAAGCTGATCAAGAAAAGAGGAAAATTAAATTTTTATTTCATTTGCGAGAATAGTATTTAAATAATACAATAAATAAGATACATACCCTTTCTGTGATTGCTCTTGACTTGATTGCATCGATGCGACACCCTTCAAAAATTATTGCATTTATGTTGAAGACGTCGAAAGTTCCATTGTTAATGGTGGTGATATTGCTATTTGTAAAACATATCTCATTCAAAAATGCGCCAAATCGATAAAGATTATCAATATTAGATTTTTCAATACGAAGCTGTCAATGAAAAATTTTTATATAACAAAATATTAATAAACTCAATTAATAGAATATCACAACTTAAAAAAAATAACAGATAAAGTAATTTCTAGGTATTAATGTGTTTTATGATATTCTATAATATTATACGGAATTTATTTGATATTTACTTTTGCTTTTGCTAAATTGAAAGCGCCTTCATCTATACGTAAATCCTTAATATCCACAAAAAGGCCATTTACTTCAGCTTCCTCAAAGGCATCAGCATATAAAATCACTTCATTACTATTGCGTACTGTAAATTTACTTGTACATGCTGGCATAAAAATAAAAGTATCTTTGAAATATTCGTTATTAATAAATTAGTTTTGCTTTTTTACCCAGGAATGCTTGTTTGCGCACAAACACAGTCTGCACATTGTTGATTTGTATATCGGGATAAGGTCCGTCATTACCACTGAAAGCCTCGCTTGTTATTTCCACTTGATCGTCGCTGTTCGTTCCTTCTATCCTTAAACTGTTCACCCTAGACTCACTAAAGAAACCTGCTTCCAAGCGAAAGTTGGTACGAACGGCTAAGTGAATTGTGACTGAAGTGGCATCGGCTGGTACTTGAAAATTTTTTCCGAAAATCTCACTTAACTGAAAAATATTGAAATAAATTTGCTTAATTTTCTGTTATTAAATATTTATCTTTAAATATACGCTATATATAGAGACGCATAAGAAACTAATATTTTATACATTTTAATGCATGTTAAGTTCTTATCTCAAATAAATGATTCTCTGAAGTGAACTTTGAAGTTCTACATAGTCGTTTTCGATGATAAAGTGCAGTTTAGTTGCAGTTGACAACTATTTCATGTATTGCAGTAACTTTATGTTAAGTGAATAAAATTTACATGGTTTTTTTTTATTTATTCATTTGTTTGACAGTAATATTTGATTTTACAGTGTCATTGACGTTGATATTTTAGGTTTACTAATCAGAAATCTGTTTTGAATATATTTTATTAGTGTTAAATATATTTTTAATATAATTCAGAATGGAGAACATTAACATTGCTTCTTATAAGGCGTAAAATATGGACAATAAATTGTACTACATTCTTAGAACAATATAAATTTTGAAATTGAAAAAAAAAAGAAATTTACAATAATTACAGAGAAATCGCATTACAATGCATGCGAATAACAATTATCCTAACGCGAAAACCATAACGACTTCAGATACAATTGTTTATTTGTAATTAGTTTAGGTGTCATAGATAGCTTAGACAACTCCTTTATTACTCATTATGTCGAAGTAAACGCTGGAGCTCAACAAGCATGCTTTCTGTTTTCTGAAGATTATTTCTTCAAAGCTATATTTTTTAAATAGAGTTATTTGCTATCGAAACACATACTCGCAAATCTCTAAGATGAAAGAGAAAGATAGTAACAATTAATTAAATGTCGGACAATGAAGTTAAAACTGCTTGACTAAATAACTACCTGTCGCTTTTCAATAAATTGAGACACAGCAACCGTGTCACTTTAATGTCGGTTGCAAAAACTGCGAGTATCCGAATTTTAAAACTGCTGAATAAACTTCTTGGACTGGGTAGAGATAATTCTAAAGGGATTTTTAACAGGGTACTGCAGGCTAAGGTATCATCTCAACAAAATGCGTGTTTCAGAAGTCTGTACTTCTTACTTTTGTAAAATAGATGCTAAAAAATCTTTGTAAATGCCTAAAACTGAACAGAAAGCACAGAGTCGTTGCTACATATAGCATATATAACAAAGTGCTTGCATTCACTAATAATCTGATGATCAATTAAAGTAACTGGAGCGAGCATAATAGACCACTTAAGTTTCGCTGTACACTATTCCCTGCATGAAAATAATAAGCCTTATAAACATAATTATACAGCTACAATAACGGTACAAATTTCGAATACATAAACCACGTATATGGTTGATGTATCTATACATAACAAACATAATATAAATCATATAGAAATTATAAAAAAACATAAAGAAATAACAATATATACACCCGTGAAACACCCGTGAGTTGGATTAAAAATGAATATTTCTAAGACTGTATTTGAGCAGTGTGAAATCAATAGTAGGCCGATAAGAACAATATGCTACAATCTGCACAAATAAACAAAATTCACTTTCGATTAACATGAGGCGATAAATAAACACAAAATTTAAATCAAATGTAAAGACAATGCTAGTGTGCAAGTGTAAGACTTGAAAATATACCAAATTGTATTTAGTTTTTATTAAAAAGCCCATTAAATAGATATCTCAACTTTGTGTAGTAGCCACAAGATGTTAGCATTGTTGTAGATATTGAATCTAATATCTAATATTTGGTATTATACCTTATTCTTTTTAGAAGAGTTGGTTTATTTTATGATGAAGATCCTAAAGTTTCACTTAGCCGTGTTGGCCAATTGTGTTCATATAGTAAACTTAAAGGTTATCAAACGGTATCTAGGTTTTTATTAAATAGTATATCTATGAAATTAATACATCGTAAGCAAATAATTTTCTGGTAGTCTAATGTACATAAATCAATTCAAAATCTAAATTATCGCTAAGTTGTCGGATTATAGTTTTTCTTTCTTATCACAGCGGAACTACCATTTAAGTGGCAGTTACTTCAGAAGGTAAGCAATAAATACATTTTGTATTTTCTATTAAATTTTATCTATCCATAAAAAACCGAACTTATTAGTCATAGATCCAAGCACGAGATCCGAGTACGTGCATTCGTAATGTGTAATATAGTAAATATTTGTTCATTATTTTCTCTTGAAACAGTTGTTTCCTCTTCACTCCGTGCCAACGTTTGCACGTTGACTTGGTATAAATGCAGTTGCTCTTGACAGCAACAAGTCAACTGGTGCGATGTCTTATTCAAATTTCGAATGCGGCCAATGTATTTCTAATTACATTGGTAAATAATTCAATTGTGGAAATATGGAAAATATAGCAATAATTGAGAAACTGCGATAAGAACCTTTAACACAAATGAAGAACTGAAATTTAGAATGTGAGTTCAAGTTAAATGCGTTTTAGTTAAGAACCTCTACAAATTAATCATTGAAATATTTTCTTATCTTTTAAAATATAGTCAAGTATGACTGATTTTTTTTTTATAATTTTAAGTGAAGGCAAATTAATAAGGTACATCTACATTTCCATAAGACATTAATAGCGTATATGTAGTATGTAGATATATAAGTATGTTCTGAATGGCTGTTTTATTTTGTACTACATTAGTCATTAACGGAAGACAAAACCTCTGTATATATTATGAATATTGTAATATTGTAACAACCACACAATTCAGAAGGAGTATTAAGATATTATATAATTTAATCAGTTTTATTATCCAAATATTCGTTTTTATAAAGAAAAAATTGCTAAAATATTCAGAAATTAATTAAAATTTTAGTGAAAAGTATTGATTAGGATTTTTTTAATTTAAAATTAATATCTATATATATAGGAGACAAACATAGATCGACACACCATAAAAATGTGTATTACATTTAAAGCTTACTACACTGTGACTATAAGTTAGAAAAATAAACCATCCAACAGCTTCTCGATTCTAATCCAGAGCAGAGCATTAGGTAAAAAAGATAGAAATTAGACAGATATTCATTTAAAGTAGTACTGATATAATATAGTATCACAACATAACGATATGTAGAAATTATTGAAACAGTACATCCTAAGTTAAAATCTGTTGAAATTAAATACATTATAGTTTTAACTATAAAATTAGTATACGCCTAGTATACGAACTTTCGTTCAAATATTTGTGTATCTCTTCATCATAAGTAATTAAGTTCTACAGTTATACCAAAAACTGTTAATGAAGTTGTAAGTATATGCTGTGAGAGACAGTTTAATTACAGATTATAAAATCTTTAAAAAATATATTTCAATGCTAATTTACATAGTATACAGTATTAATATACCGTATATTACGAGAGCTGCTATATATATTTCTGGCCTAATAATAAAAATGCGAATATTTATCATCAAAAATTGTTTTATTGTTTTTCAAAGTATTCTCCAGCCTGATTAATACACTTTTACATGCGCTCAAACCAATTGAGAAGCAATTTTTCCACTCCGATTGAGACACCTCCACAACATGGTTACTGAACGCTTTAACAGCATCTTCTGGCGACGAAAATCCTTGACCACGCATTTTTTTCTTGATGTACGTGAATAATAAGAAGTCATTCGGTGCCAAATCAGGGCTGTATGGCGGAGAACATTTTAAAGCTAGTAACGGCTGGTTTGAGAGATAAAAAATTCGCGCCAATCTACACAGTAATCCTCTCAAAAGGCGAAGCACCCAGTACTGACACCGTCGCTGTGGATAGTTTCCCGATAAAGTTAAAAGCTATAATTCAAGAGGGAGGTTATGACTCACAACTAGTTTTCAATGTTGATGAGATAGGTGTTTTTTTGGAAACGTCTCCCAAAGAAAACTTTTATATCGAGAACTGAAAAATCACCACCAGAATTTAATGAAGTAAAGATAGACTAACTCTAATTCTAGGTGGCAATGTATATGTTGATTTTATGTTTAAGCCGTTACTTGTTTACCAATCAGAAAATCCTAGATCTTTGAAGGGCTGTTCAAAGCATCGATTTTCTGTACACTGGCGAGCCAATTAGAAATCATGAATGACGACGTTATTATTTAATGACTGGGTTTCTACGTGCACCATTCCTGCAATAAAAGTTTGTTGCACTAGGTAAAGACAATTTAGACTTCAAGGCATTAGTCTTAGTAGATAATGCTCCTGATCACCCAGTTTATATTGATGACTTGTCTGAAAATGTTAAATTTGTGTTTTTATCAACACCACATCATTAATGCAGTCGATGGATCAGGGTGTGATTTCGAATTTAAAAAGCTATTATCTCTGCCGATTATTTAAGATGCTTTTTAGTGAAACTGATGGATCCGATAAGCTTACAATGCAGCAATTCTGTAAAGCTTTTAATATTAATAGAAAGTAAAACCATCTTGCATGAACGGTGTTTGACGCAAAATATGGCCAGAATGTGTACACAAGAAAAATGGTGACAGTTCCTCTTTTGAAGTTGATGATGATAAAGTGGATACTATTTGTCATGAAATTGCTAAATTAGCAAGAGAGTCTAATTTTAAAGGGTTGGTAATGTTGACATAAATGAAATGCTACCTCATAACCAAGAAATGTCTAACTAGGAATTGATGCAACTGGATTTGGAAATCGCTAACGAAGAAGAGAGCTCGGTAGATATAAGTGATCGTCAAAATTTAACTACACAGCAAATTTCTAAAACAATGAATCTAATTGACGAAGCAATGGAAATATTTTCAAAAAACGATCCTGATAGCGAAAGACATGCAAAACTTACTCGTGCGGTAGCAAATTTTATTTAAATATTCTTCTTTTTTTAACATTTAAGGACTGAATGAAAAATACGGTAACCTATTTTTGATGTTTATATGATTTCCTATAGAAAATAGCAATTCACTTTGCATTGTTTCAATTTTAGTCGTGATATTTTGGAACGTATCTACAACCCAAAGCGAGGTCTTACTGTATATGTAAATGGTTTATCTA